ATTTTGATTATATCAGTCAAAAATATTTTGATTTTAGCCTTTCGTCTGGTCCCCTTTATTTAAAATGGTTCAAATGCCCCCCCCCCCCCCCCCCCAAACCCCCCCCCCCCCCCCCCCCGAACAAGCCACTCAGCACCCCGCGGTACCCCTGGACACGGCACACCAGAGACAGAAGCGTTCCAGAACAAGCTAAATTTTACAGGTCAGAAAAGAAAAAAGTACCTTTCCTCGCCTTCTGCCCCTCCTTCGTCTTTTTTGAGGGGGCACTCCAGCCTTGGGTCAATTGGAGAATTAGGTAGCCTTATCGCGGGGTTCCACTAATTTGCTTCTACGCAGCCCAAAGCCACAGAGGAGATTTAAAAAAAGCAATCGACTTCCCCGTATTCCACGATCGACAGCAACCTGCAACCTGCAACCTGCAAACTGCAAACTGCAGAGGAAAGACATAACAATCTACGCATTAACGTGACTAGAGACTCGGACCTGTGGCTGCGTGTCCCGAATGTACCTATTAGCTGACACATAAAAGCCCGGACTAAAGGCGCAGAAACCCGGACCGAATTATTACAAGGTTCGCACCACCCGGCGATAACCTCACCCAATCTCGACACCTCCTTTGTCGCTTGTCATTGCAACCGTATTCATAGTAGTCTGCAACACCGATTCGTCACCGAACGGTCCAGACCTCCGCGACCCCCCATCACTGCATCCGTCCAACTTCCGAAACTAGTCTTCGCGAAAATCTAGTCGTCTTCACCGCATCTTTTTCGGTTGTTCCGAGAAGCGCGTCATCCTCTGCATTCCAGCTCTGCTAGGCAATAGTGCACACTTCACCACCTCAAACCACACCCACACCCACATCCAGATTACATAATGGCCGACCGTGGTCACTACCGCGGTGGCCGAGGAGGCGGCGGACATCCCCGCGGGGCGCGGGGCGGGCGAGGCGGAGGGCGAGGTGGACACGGAGCTGACTCGGGCGCTAGCGGCGGTGCGCCGCAGGAACGGGAACGCCCAAAGAAAGAGAACATCCTCGACCTAAGCAAATACGTAGACAAGAGGATCACCGTCAAATTTAACGGTGGCCGAGAAGGTCTGTCCTCGACCATCCCATCCCCTCTCAGTCAAATTATATAATTTTGGACTGCATTTATTGTAGTGCTAGACGGTAGTAGACTCGAGCTAACTTTCATAACTATATGTAGTCACCGGTACACTCAAGGGTTATGATGCGCTTATGAACTTGGTCCTCGACGACGTGCAAGAAGTTATGCGAGGTAAGCCAGCTATCAAGTCCCTCAACCGCCCAATCTAAATCTACTCTGCTATATCACGTGCGGATGAAAACTAATATACGTCTACGTAGATGATGAGGGGAAAGAGGCGACTCGATCACTAGGCCTAGTAGTCGCCCGAGGTACTCTGCTAGTAGTCATCAGCCCAGTAGACGGAAGCGAGGAGATTGAGAATCCCTTCGGACAACAAGCGGAAGATTAGAATCCCGAAGACTTGCGGCTCAGCTAGTAAGAGGCCAGGATAATGAGAACTAGCGGGATCTTTAAATGTCCCCTAGGAGTTTAGCATGGAAGAGACATCTGTAATTTTCAGCCGTATGAATGGCATAAGTCTCAAATTAAATCAAATCAAATACGGTTATGATGCGGAAATGAAAATCTGAAATAGTGAGCAAGTAGTATGATATACTTGAAGGGGATGAGATGTAAGTAAAGAAGGTCATGACTAGATCATGGATTAGGGCATGTATGACAGGGAACATACTTATATTGGCTCTACGTATAGGTACCTATCTCCAACGTGAATGTAGTCTTAGGCAGATAGGATTACTAGAATATATCATCATACTATGTGTGGGATGATGTTAGGCCTTCGAGTTTTACTTTGACTACAAACAACGTATTCTCACTCACTCACGCTACGTCTCGATGTTGAATATATGTTTTTACACACGTCAACTACACCATGAGACAGCCGTCTATCCCTTTTCAAAACCCCTTTCTCCTTTCTTAGAAATACTCTGATATTTACAACCCAACGCTCTCATCTGCTTATATCAAAATCAATATATATATCTAGGTAGCTAATATTACATGCTTAGATCATGGGTTAGTGAAATCATACCGCCTCATAAGGCTTACCTTTTAGTATGCGTAAGCACTGGATTATCACTTTCTCATTAAGATCCTCACTCAATGTTTCGAAACTTACTCTTATCTTTTCGTATCATCTAGCAGAACTCTATGGCTCTAATATCGAATAAGTATACACGTAAAACTGACCTGCACGTCTAACAATCGCATCACATCACTGCACTACAATCAGTCAAGACAATTCCCCTCTTTCAAGGCACAAATTCTTAAACGGTAAGAAACTTTGCTTATATTCTACTTTATACTCTGGGAGATAGTTATGTTTGTGATCATAGAGGCTCCATCCACGCATGCTTCTTTCTTTCAAACCCGCATCTTGATCCGAAACTTTGCTGAGAAAACAATCGCAATGCTGTATGTCCTTCCTTCGTAGCTAGCCTAGCCGACCTCGTCTATGACCGCGGGGAACGGCGACAAACCAAATTGCGAGGTTAACGCCTGAAAGAGGAGCGCTATGGTGCATCTCTTGTTATGTATCGTCGGTATTCAACTGACTGACGAAAATATAGTCCAATATGGCACGGGGGCTTCTCGATTCGGGCCGACTCCACATTAACGGCCGCAAAAGGGATTCAAGTCGTGGCCCATGGTCTTCGCATATGAAGAGTGTCTAGATCTGTTGGTGAATCTATGATTGTAATTTCGTGTTCTGAATTTGAAAGACGAGGTTTCGCTTCCTTGGTTGTTGTATGTGTCGTCGCGAGTTCCTATGACTTTCGGATGAATTCCACTTTGAATATCCTATCCCATCGTGTATTATTCTCAATGTCCTCATCGCAGAACCCTTCATAGGGGTTCTCATTTCTTTCAAATTCAGAATATAGTCCTATCCCCCGAGTTCCTCGAACTTTTCTCGTCTTACGGTGCTCGTTTGATTTGCCAACTTCACCGAACTGTGAATCGTTTCCTCCTCTCCAACTTCCGTGAAAGATCAATTTGCTGATCTTGGGTGCTTGGGCGATCGAAACCGCGCTCTTTCTAGTAGCGGGTGGCCTGTGGCTTATTAGCTCCCTTAAGTAGGTCGCTAAACGCACTCTGGGCCTGCTTCTTCAACTCTTTATATGAGACTACGAATGTCGATTGGTGGTCCCTACTAGTGAGATAAATCCTTTCATCGATACCGGCGTCTAGCTTATTTAAGCAGCTAACGATGTGGCCTAGATCGACGACCGGATTTCCTTGGGCGTCAACCTGATGGAAGACATAGTCTCGGAAGAGCTTCAAAGTATAACGTTCCGATGTCTCAGCCCAGTTGGGGTCATTATCAAACTCTGGTCGTTCGTTGATAGAGCCCAACTTCGCCATCAATCGCACCAATCGGCCATTCTCGAGTTCTCTGCCTAAGTGAGCGGTAACCTCGTCCTGGGCATTGAATGATGCCACCAGGGCATCATCCATATGCTGAGCGAGATCGTATACTAGATGCTCTGCAGTCTTTGTCGGTACGTTTTGTGGTGGGCTAAGTAGCCAAGATATCCTCTCCTTTAATTCCGGGGAATACGCTCTACCTAGCTGCTCAAGGGGTAGGCGTAGGTCACCAAGATTTCGTGGTGGGGTGTTCGTTGCAATGCTCAGGATGAGTCGTCCTAGGCTAAAGAAATCCTCCTGCTGTAGCTCCTCAAGTCGACGAGGTACTTCAAAGTGCAGAACGTCTAGAATCGAACATGCACTAAGCCTAATGCGATTTTTATCCGTCAAAATTACTTTGTTGATGTCGACGCACCGCGCTGCAAGTTTAGCCTTGTGGATTGCCTTAAGAGCGCTAGCTAGCTGGACAAGATAGCTCCATAATACCCTCTCTGATACGGTTGCCGGCCGGCCGAAGCGGTTGGTGGGAAAGTGATGCTCCGCTAGCGTCTTTGAGAGAGGGTGATAATTGTGAACGAATACAAGGGAACTGTCGTTGAAGTCTCTTGTAGTGAATGCTTCAATCGTAGTGACTATATTGGGATGTATAATCTTCTTCCACGAATTCACAGCTTTAATAGCTTCCTCATTGGTGAGGCGAAATCCTAACGTCTATTTAGCTCGACTTCCACTTAAATCAATTTGGGGACAAACCTTCGATTCGTCGCAAGCAGAATGTGTTCCCATTCTTGCGAGAGGTTGCTTTGAATACCCAACTCGGAAGGCCAAAAGTACTAGCTGTGCTTCGAATTTTGGTATCTAAAGGAACGAGAGAATGATAATGTTGGAGAGAGGGCAGCTGTACTCCAGGTTGACTAGGAAGGACTTGTCTAGTAGCTTCAGACTTTTTCTGAAGGTCTTCTCTGAGAGATTCTGGAAGGAATAAGTCATATACCTGTCGCTGGTAAGGCTGCATACTCTCTCTCCCCGTAGTGATAGGGTAGTAGAGATGATATTGAAGCTATAGCCTGTCAGATAGTGGGTCGGGATAGATATATCAAAAATAGGGTCTTACAGGTTGAGACGGGGCCGCATAAGAATTTTGAGCGGTATAATATGGCGCACCTGCTCCGGCCAAGGCGTTGTGATCATCGGCGTATGGATTATACTGTGTTGAAGGGATCGCCTGATTTACGCTAGACATGGTAAACGGATCATAGCCTAGGGACCCGCCATCCGCTGAACCGTTGCTTGCAGTCTGAACCTCGTTAACTTTCTTAATCCAAAAGCTGTCTTTCTTGGACTCACGGCGGTATTTAGATCATAGTTTTGGGGAGTAAAATCCGGAAACGGTGCCGATTTATACAGCGAGGCCCCCGTATCTTGTTGTAAGGTCGAAGTTGTAGCTGTTGAACACGTAGGTAAGTATACAATAGGGCATTAGAAAACAGGCATCCTCACATGTAGAGGCACCCCGGGGTGTAAAAGGTGTAGCATTCGTCGAGAAGTTAGACTTCTTGCCTCCAAGTTGAGTAGGAGTAAATGATGGGGATTCGACATTTAGAGATTTCTTAGAACCACTAGACAATGGGTTAGCAAGACCGGCGGAATATGTTGTGCTGGAATCGTGAAAGCTGGCTGGATATCCTGGGCTAGCCACATCGCTAAATTGTGGAATATAGATCCAAGGCGAGGGCCAACGCGGGGGAACTGAGGAACTTCTGTGAGTAGGACTCATGTTGAACTCTTCATGCTGAATAGAGCAATCAGGAACCACGGTAATACGGGTACCTGGACGGGGCGAGAGGCGAGGCGAGAAGCCTGACCGGCTAGTAACTAAAGGGTTTATCGTAAAGGATTTACGGCTTCCAAAATATCGCCGAGCCCAATATGATGAATATGATGTTGGTGTTGTAGGAGACAGCGGTGTTGCTGTAGGCTCGGATAATGGTTGAGAATAGCTGGCCGTTGGCTCTGAAATAACTCGCCCATGGCTTTTCCACCAGCTCCAAGCCATTTTTGCCTCGGATTGTATAGATCGTTATTTTATATACAACGAGTAGCCCAAAGACACCTTCCTCTTTGCTTATGTCTAACAGCAATTAAGATAGTCGAGAGACTAAAACTCTAGTAGAGGTCGGTAGATATCGAATCGTGACCAGATACTTCCACCCTACCACGTCGATTGCCTCGACCGTCGAGCGGCTATATTTATTGGCTAATATTTCTACATACCCTAGTTTGAAGTCTCTTTGATTCTATACAGAACTGTTCTTGCTTCGGTGTAGAAATCTCGAATGCAATCAAAGAGGGAGCCAGCCAGGCCATCGGGGAATGAAACTCGGTGTATAAAGCAAATAAGGAGCGTCATTACTTACTTGTCCATTGAATTAGAGGAGCCCTTGTCATGGTTGAAGGCACATCCCTGATCTTCATAACGGCAATGACCATATATCAGTACGTTTCGACAGAGAGTGTCCTTGCTGTCTGAGCGGGTGTAAGTCAACAAAATCAGGAGTGATATCGAGATGAGTAAGTTAGCTAGCAGGCACGCCTACGACGCGCCCGTTAACCCCATTCGATTGAAAACGTACCACGCGTTTTAGGTCTCGGGGAGGCCATCTGCCTCCCTCTATCGGCAGTGCCGAACCGCGTATTCGCCATTGGTATTGGGTAGAGGTTGCAGATTCTCGTAATTTCGGCATGGAGTAGTCGCTACATAAGGTCAGGAGGAAAGTATACGCTGCCCCTGTCGATACAACCCCTATATCAAGAGTTTGTTAGTTTGTGAGGTCGGATGAGTAAGAGCGAGAGAATATAAGAGTGGAACAAAGTTCGAGTTGCACGTACTTGGACACCTCAAAGCGCTCCCATTTTTCTGGCAAGAATGGGCGAGCTCTCGCCCATAAATCAAAATAGTACGCGCAGCAGGGACGAGAGGGTGGGGACTATAATCCTGGGGTATCAATTGAAAGTATCAATTGAGAGGTTTAGGGGGCGAGTGTGAGGCTGACGATAAGGGCACAAAGATACGATGCGGGTGTGTTTAAGCACGTCAGTAGAAGTTGCAGTGAAGTTGTAGTGGGATGACGGTGTCAGATTACTAAGAGCTGCAAGCAAACTAATTGGCCCCGACGTCCGATGCCAAGATGTCCTCTCTCAGCCTTGAGCTCAGACTGAAATAATTAATTGTCTATGCACAGAAGTTTTCATGCACGGTACTATACTATTTATGACAAAGACTAAGCTATTATAGGCTTAGATTTAAACTTTGTACTTAACGCTAGTCCCTTCAAAGTAATACATACGTATTTACATAAACTTACCTGCACAGACCTACAATTAGGTAACTCAACTTATCAGCTCGGAAGGCCACCAAACCTAACAATCCCTGGCCTCCATTTGTCTGCCAACACTTACGTATCCAGCTTGTTAAGTATCAACCTAAAGCACGGTGCCTTTATAATCCTCAAAGTTATATTTAAACTGTTGCAGGTAGTGGCATGTTGAAAATTCTATAACACGACTCCAGCGGCAAGAAGAAGAAAAAGAAGCTACATAGCATCTCGGAGCCTCAGAACTACATAATTCAAACTCCCAACCCCAAAAGACAACACCGGCTTACAAGGAATCGCTAATTCATACGACGTATGGGGCACTGATATCAAATCATACAAATTTTATCCTACGCTCAGTCGTACATATCGAGACGATGGCAACCAACGGCGATATCGATATAGGCCAGCTCTCTCCGGAGCAGCAATCGGCCCTCGAGCAATACACCCAGGTCACAGCACAAGATATTAAGGATGCGGTGCCGTTGTTAGAGAGGTCGCAATGGAATGTGCAAATAGCAATAGCCAAGTTCTTCGATGGCGAAGGTCCCGATCCCGTAGCCGAAGCTATGGCCGCTCAGAACGATATTCCCCGACAAGCAGCCAGACATGAAAACCTACAAGAAAGCTTCGCAGCATCCGCGCGGCCTTCCGGACGCTCAGTACCACGAGCCAGACCTGATCCTGCACCGAGGATAGTACCTCAACCTCAGACGACCACTCGCCTGCCTTTTATCCTGTCTATCCTATTCGCTCCCTTCAACTTCGGATACAAAGCCGTCTCGACGCTCTTTCGCACATTCATGTACATCTTCGCGTTTCTCCCCGCATCCATACGGCCCCGCATGATAACCACGAGCATGACGAGCGGGTGGAAGGGCACCATGGGCCGGCGCATGCTGATGCCGCGCGATACCGCCTCCCGGTTCAAGCGGGAATTCGAAGAGGAATACGGCAACGACAGCCTGCCCTTCTTCGAGGGCGGCTTCGCGCAAGCCCTCGACCTAGCCAAGAAGGAGCTCAAGTTCCTCCTAATAGTACTCATGTCGCCCGAACATGACGACACAGAATCCTTCACGCGGGAGACTCTACTCTCGCCTGACGTCATTAGCTTCATCAACGAGCCCAGCAACAACATCGTTCTATGGGGCGGCAACGTCCTCGACTCCGAGGCATATCAAGTCGCCGCCGAGTACAACTGCACCAAGTTCCCCTTCTCATGCCTAGTGTGCCTGACCCCTAAAGAGGGCAGCACCCGCATGAGCATCGTCAAGCGACTAACCGGACCCATACCCCCCGCAACTTACCTCGCCGAGATCCAAACCGCAATCAACAAGTACGCCCCGGACCTAGCCGGCGCCCGCGCCGAGCGCACCGCCCACGAAGTCGCGCGCACCCTACGCACCGAGCAGGACTCGGCGTACGAGCGCTCCCTAGCCCGCGATCGCGAACGCGCCCGCCAGCGCAGGGAAGCCGAAGCTGCCGCCGCCGAGGCCGAGCAGCGCGCCAGAGAAGAAGCCAAAGCCGCAGAGCGCCGCGCCGCCCAGCGCCAACAGTGGCGACGCTGGCGCGCGTGTACCGTGGCCCCCGAGCCCGAAGCTTCTGCCAAGGATGTCGTGCGGCTCGCTCTCAAGATGCCCGACGAAGCGGACGGGCGGATCGTGCGACGGTTCGCGGGCACGACTACGGTAGAGGAGTTGTATGCTTTTGTGGAGTGCTACGATCTACTTAAGGGAGGAGAGGAGCTCGATGACGATGTGGAGGAGCCGGAGGGCTATGAGCATGAGTATAAGTTCCGCATTGCGTCGCCCTTGCCCCGAGTTGTCTACGAGCCGGATGCTACTGCTACGCTGGCGGATACGATTGGCAGGTCTGGTAACCTGATTGTCGAGAGTATAATCTCCGATGAGTCGGATGATGATCAGGGTGCGGTGTAGAATAGATACAAACTTACTTAATATGTCTAGCAGAATAGAACTATTATATGAGTACCTAACCTATATAATGAATCAGTCACTATTTGTAGAGATGTGCTAGGCGTGTGGTTCATTAATGCATCATGTTAAAAAACCCGAGCTATGCTGCTACCCAAAACTACCTACTTTATCCCAGAGACGCCTACTACTAATTTACAATCTAGAATACAGCTATACAGGTATATAACGCTTAGAGCCTCATCAAGTGAAGCTTTTCAAGTACGAGTTCTACAATCACCTTATTTTACTAGGCAGTCCTACGCGGACTATTTCGTGAGTTAGTTTTATAGTTTTACACGGGGCCTTCGTCCGGCCCAGCTGGTAGCACGGGGATACTTCGAAGAGTTCGGGAGCAACACGATCAGGGAGCACAACGCTGTATTAGAGTATGAGCAATTTGAATATAGACCAACTATTATTTTTGGGTATTGTTTACCTGTTTAGCCTTCCAGTGACTGGTCCTGTTTCCCCCGATTTCCCTCCACGAATTTGCGGCGTGATCGTAAAGAAGAAGCCTGAGATTTTTTGAGGTGAGGATAAGTAGCGGGTACGTTTCGTCTATCCGCGAAATCCCATACTCGATACTCTCTAGACATGACTCGCTTCCTCTATCAGCACATAACCAGCTGTTAAGACGCACCGGTCATTAGGTAAGACATTAATGGCCTTGTTGATTGTCCTTGGCAAACCTCTGGTGGATCCGGGCAATCTGTTCGTCGACGTTCACGCTCTGCATATGGTTCATATGAGCCTGGCTCCGGCCATCCGGATTGCCGTCGAAGCTATTCAGTGCTGCTCGCTTTCTTCTCGCCATCTCTTCTTCAGATATGGGCTGTCCGGTAACACCGTCGAACAAGTCTCCTCGTTGGCTTGCGAATCGCTTCAAGTTATTAGCAACATCAGAATGTGACAGGTTCGTCGTCGCATATCGCGATTCGGCTTTGGCCTTCTGCTCCTTCCACTGCGGGTCCAGCAACTCGATCCTCATGTGCGCTTCTAGCTCATTCATCGGGATTTGCTGATGACAATTTGGACAGAGGGCCATCTGAGTTCCTTGTCGGTTAGCCGCTCGCGCGGCCGCGCGAGGAACATAATTTTCCTTGATCTTCATCGGAGCAGCACCACCCTTAGCTTCGGCCTGAGCATGCTGCATACGTAAACGAGCTTCCTCTCTCTCTCGTATCCGCTGTGCTTCCTCATCCTCCTGAGTGCCACCGGGGCGTGGCGGCGGGGCCATCTGATACGCACCTTGAGCCGGGGGTTGAGCTCCTGGTAGATGTCCTTGTTGTACGGGATGATGAGGAATATTGTAATTGGGTAGTGCTGCGTACCCGCCATAGGCGTTGTCTTCGTCAGTAGGCATCGCTTCCTCAATACGTAGGTTAGCACTGACGGAGACCTTGGCCTTCTGTTCAAGGGAAGCATATTGTAATTCAGAGAGGGAAGTCGGTGGGGGTAGGTTTGCTTGGTCATCAGCTTCGGTGAAGACTACGGTCTCGACAACAACGAAGTCGTGCCAGTCAATCTGAGCGTAAGATAGTCGTTCCTTTTCTTCATCCTCCTCCTTCTTCTGCTTCTCGTCCTCTTGGTGTTTCAACCATTCGGCCCTTTGTCTCGCCCGACTCAGAATACGATATTTATCATCAATGTTCTGCTGTAGCTCAGCAATCCTCTCTTGCTGAACCTTTCCCCCTTCGCCATCGATACCGCCGGCTCGTAGAAGCATCGAGTATTGATCGATGAGGTGCTGGAAGAAATTGTGAAGACTGTGGTTCGGTCTCAGGAAGTCAAATTGGTAGTTACCGGCCTCTCTTTGCGAGAGTGCAGTCATGAACTGCCTACCATTCTTTGCAACGAAGAGCGCAGTCAATTTCACAACCTCAAGATCCTGGGCGCTGATATTGGGCATTCGCGCGGAAAACTGGAAGTCTGGAGGTTTGGGAGGGCCTTCGGGCTTCTTTTCGATAACAGCAGCGGCTTCGCCTACCCGGCCTGCAGCTACGGCAGTGCCGCGGCCCTCTTTGATCTCGCTTAACCTCCATAGATAGAATGGGTTATATGGGTCGGCATTGCTAAGGAAGCTGAATTTAGGATTATTCTTCTCTTTTTCTCGGACGCGATCTTCAAATGCGATACCATTTCGGGCAACGAAGCCGGCTGTCTTCTCAAGGATAGCTATAGATAGGTTAGCTCAGCGCGACTTCTGATTTTTGAAGGATGATGCTTTCGACTTACTTCTGAATTCTTTGGGTGGTAAGACAACACCCTGGGGAGGTTTGATGTCATCCAAAACTGCAGCTGCATCACCATTAGTATCCGCGGCCATATTGATGGCAGTTTTAGAGAGCCTCCCTCGAAATGTGTAGACGTGAACGCGATTGTGGAGGTTGCAGCAAGTAAGGATTGGCTAATTGCGCGATGATGTCGCAGCAAAGAGCTCTAACAAAATATCGTGAAGGTCGGTTCTATTAGGTACTCATGTACCGTAATCGGATTAACATATAACCCGTAAATTTAACCAATCAATGGAACTAACCAAACCGTAGTTACCTCAAAGTCAAAACTGTAACTTTCCTACCGTTAGCTTTTGACTTTCCTATTATATAACGGTAACCCAACAAACAATGCTATGATTTCTTATAACAAAGACATTATGAACTGTATGATTCATTTAGTAAATTAGTTTGAGAAATCTGCATTACGTGTCCAAGGCTTGTATCATTTTTACTACCTACCTAGGTACGTAATGGGATATGCATACCTCTGGTAACACGGTAACACCTGTACTTACCTGTTATGTACTCGTGTTCGTGAATTACGGAATTGCGGGGGCACTTTGAATTTCAATTCGTTCTAGACCCTTAGGCGCATACATAGCGCGACTTCATAAGGCTTGTAGCGAATTACCTAATGGTAGCTGAATCTTTTTTTGGACCCTAGAAAGAGCAGCCAGCACTACCCTATCAGCCCCTGGGGGCAATCCGCCAATCCGCCAATCCGGATGAGGCCACTGTAGCATCAAGACCATTACCTACTCGGATTAACCATGCAAATGAATTTTGAAGATTGCTCGAAAGCTCAAAATAAATCCTGACGCCGTATTCACACCACCCCTTTACACCCTTCCCACAACCCATCCCGCCGCACTGCGCACTGCGAATTGCGAACTGCGATCAACTTTGCGACTAAAGGGGGGAAATATCTCAATTCTTTAATTATCCCACCTCTTCGAATGGGACTTTCATTATCCTATTGTTTTATAATGATTAGTTCTACTTCTTGACTTTCGTTAATCAACCTGAATTCACTTCTTCGGTGTGATACCCTTTTTTGCCGCGTAACCCAAAAAGCTTGTTACACGGGCAAGCAATTTCGACGCGAGTAATTCCAGGAAAAGGCCACAAAGCGCCTCCTTTCTTCCCATTTTGTCCCAAATCAACCCCGTCGAGTTCTATTGCAGCTGCATCCCGCATCCCGCATCCCGCACCCCGATTCAATATGGCGAGGTCCAGTTCGGCCAAGCCGCCCGCTACAAAAGACGGTCCCTACACACCTCCGAAACCCAAGGATCAAGTCAAGCACGATGACTATACTTCGGAGGGTGTCGAGGATAATGATGTCTTCTTACTACCTTTCTCTGACTACCAGGTTATGCTGGTCTTGACCATCCTTGGTGCCGTTGTGCGACTATTCCGCATCTACCAACCCTCGAGTGTCGTCTTCGACGAAGTACAGTAAGTTCCCTACTAAGCTATAGCCACGAAGGTTTACCAATATTAATACCGGATGTTCTTTATAGCTTTGGTGGGTTTGCGACCAAGTATATCAAGGGTAAATTCTTTATGGACGTCCATCCACCGTTAGCCAAGCTACTCATTACACTTTTCGGATGGCTTGCTGGTTTTAACGGTGACTTTGACTTCAAGGAGATTGGCAAGGACTATCTAGAGCCAGGTGTCCCGTACGTGGCTATGCGACTATATCCTGCCATCTGCGGTATTGCCTTGATCCCGACTATCTTTTTGACTCTAAAGGCTGCTGGTTGTCGTACGGCTACGGCCGCCCTCGGTGCTGCTTTTCTCATCTTTGGTAAGCTCCCCTTCCACTAACCACTTGACGTTAACCTTGCGCTTACATGCAACACAGAGAATGGTCTCCTCACCCAAGCCCGTCTGATTCTTCTCGATTCTCCCCTGGTCGCCGCTACTGCATTCACTGCGCTCGCCTTTACGTCCTTCACCAACCAACATGAACTAGGTCCTTCAAAGGCGTTCGATGCGGGCTGGTGGTTCTGGCTTTTCATGACCGGCGTGGGAATGGGAATTACACTCAGCATCAAATGGGTTGGCCTCTTCACAATTGCTTGGGTTGGAACCTTGACTCTTGTACAATTGTGGGTGCTACTTGGTGACACCAAGACTGTCACCATTCGCATCTTTGCGAAGCACTTTTTGGCCCGTGCTTTCTGCTTGATCATCATTCCCATTACCATCTACCTAGGTATATTCGCTATTCACTTCATTTGCCTCTCAAATCCTGGCGACGGAGATGGCTTTATGAGCTCTGAATTCCAGGCCACGTTGAACAACAAGGGCATGCAAGATGTGCCGGTCGATGTTGCCTTCGGCAGCCGTGTCTCCATCCGACATGTGAACACTCAAGGAGGATATCTTCATTCTCATCCCCTAATGTACCCTACAGGCAGTCAGCAACAGCAGGTCACTCTTTATCCCCACAAGGACGACAACAACCTATTCTTGCTCGAGAACCAGACTCAGCCTTTAGATATTAATGGTGAGCCTATCAACGGAACTGGCGCTTGGGACAATGCGAAGAACATAACCGAGAACTACATCAAGAATGGCGATGTGATCCGACTATATCACCTGGCTACTCACCGTCGCCTTCACTCTCACGATGTTAGACCGCCTGTTAGTGAAGCCGACTGGCAGAATGAAGTATCTGCATATGGATATGAAGGATTTGCTGGTGACGCTAATGATCTATTCCGTGTTGAAATTGTCAAGAAGCAGTCTCTCGGGCCCATCGCCAAGGAGCGGCTCCGAACCATCCAGACCAAGTTCAGACTCGTCCACGTTATGACTGGTTGTGTCCTGTTCTCTCACAAGGTGAAGTTGCCAGATTGGGCATCTGAACAGCAGGAAGTTACTTGTGCCAAAGGTGGTACTCTTCCCAACAGTTTATGGTACATTGAATCCAACGCGCACCCGCAATTAGCCAGCGATGCCGAGAAGGTCAACTACGTTAACCCCGGGTTCCTCGGAAAATTCTGGGAACTGCAGAAGGTTATGTGGAAGACTAACGCAGGTCTGGTTGAGTCTCATGCCTGGGACTCTCGTCCCGAGTCTTGGCCGATCCTCCGCCGTGGTATCAACTTCTGGGGTAAAAACCACCGCCAGATCTACCTAATGGGCAACCCCATCGTATGGTACACCTCGACCCTTGCTGTTGTTATCTACGTGCTCTTCAAGGGTATTGCGATCCTTCGATGGCAGCGCAGCTGCAACGACTATGAGAACGCCACTTTCAAGCGATTCGATTACGAGATCGGAACTTGGGTGCTCGGATGGGCTTTCCACTATTTCCCCTTTTTCTTGATGGGACGCCAGCTCTTCCTTCACCACTATTTCCCTGCGCTGGTCTTCGCTGTCCTAGCATTTTCCCAGTTTATCGACTTCGCTACGGCTCGATTTGCAAGCGTCAGGGGAAACTCTATCATCAACAAGGCCAGTGTAGTTACGCTATTAGCTATCTCCGCGGTCGTCTTTGCCCTATATTCGCCCCTCGCATACGGAAATGCCTGGACAAAGGCAGAATGCAATCGTGTCAAGCTGTTCAGCACTTGGGATTGGGATTGCAACACTTTCTTGGAGAGCGTAAGTATCCCTCCCCATGGCATGCCGTCAAGAGAGCGAGTTTGAAGTTAGATGTTCGTGTTCTTGTTCCTATTTGGATTTTGGATACAGATATAAAGTGCATATGGTCAGGATTTACAAATTACCAATTAGACGGTAGACTAATGCATATCTCTTGTATAGTACGAAGCATACTCAGGACTTGCATCCCCAATCGCCCAGACCTCTCAACCCGCTGTAGACAACAAAAACCAGGTGCCAGTCCAGCCCGCAGCTGATAACAATCAAGATGCCCCAAAGGTAGGCATCTCGGGGGCACCCAAGTTCGAACCCCAAGGTCAAAAAGTGATCAACCGCGAAGAGCGAGTCGAATACCGGGACCAAGACGGCAACATCCTCAACGAAGAGCAAGTGAAGGCGCTCGAAGGCAAAGTCGAATTCAAGACCAAGTATGAAACGAGGACGCGCGTCGTCGACGCCGACGGGAACGAAGTCGAAGTTCCAGTAGAAGAGCTCGCCGCCGCGGGCGTCGCGCCACCGCATCCTGATGTCGAGGGTGCTAACCAGGAGACCAAGAATTTAGTGGGAGATGACCCTATCCCTCAGGAAGCGTCGTCGAGCAAGGATGGTGAGAAGGAAGCTGAGAGGTCTGTCCCTAAGCCAGCTAGTGAGGGTAACGAGGCAACCGTTTAAACGCTTTGGTTCATCACTCTAGCTCCTTAAATGACCTCGCGTCTCATTGTGTGACAAAGTCATGGCGAAGAAAATCTCCACTGATGTTGGTTCATTCTAAATGTAAAGAGTTTAGCCGGACAAACGGTGTTGTCCGCTGGACTCGTGTATATCACCATACTAATGAAGATCACGGAAGAGGAAAACTTTGGGGAATGCGGAATGCAAACAAAAAGAGACAAGGAATATTGGAGTGATTGTCTTGCGAAGACAAACTAGAACCATGTCGGTTATACCTGCTGATCGCAGCCTATTTCCTTTAATTTGAAGATTTTGATATGTCCCTATGTGCTGTCCATCAGATGACTGTCGTATTCTCTCCGTAGTGTGAGGACGAGCGTCGTCGTCCATAACGGGTGGGTTATCGTATCTCCAACCTCCAACTACGATACCTTGCTTTGACGGGCCGTAATTCCGCTATACTAACGTATAGACGAGTAGCATGATGGTTCCAATTCCAGCAGGCTCCGTCTAGACATTTAGATATACGTGAGGCAAGCTCCGACTATCGCTCATCAGGTTTATAAAGGTGCGGGGGAGCACCCATAACAGCTTGACTTCAAACTTCCCTCGATAAAGTCAACATTAATATATAAAGTAAAGTCAGCTCTTTACTCTCGATGTCGCGTAATGTCGAAGTCGTAATCTCTTGCCTCTGCGGTGCTGCAAAGCAGACGGTAGTATTGCACACCAATGAGTCGACATCCGGCCCTTTGGGTGTTGACCTATGCCACTGCTACGACTGCCGCCATAGTTCCGGTCTACTGTGCGTATCATATGCGCCTATCCAGGTGCCGCCATCCCTAAACGGCCTCGTCGCATATCCGGACGAGTCTGCGCAGCCCTCTGCCACTACTCCCCGGCGATATTTCTGTAATACCTGTGGCTGCCATGTATTCCGGAACTCTGCCGTTAGCGGCGAGAAAAGCGATCAGTCTTGGAAGGTAACTACCGGTACCATCATCGAACGAGTTGGCGCCGACGACGAATTAGCAGAAGTAGACGATGAGAAAGAAGATCCGCTCCTGAGATATACCAGACATATCAATACCGACAGCACTAAAGACGGCGGTCTATCCCCTTTCATCAAACTCGTCGAGGGAACCGAGTCGCCTAAAAAGAGCCAGATAACCGACGACAGAGGCGGGGATGGCAAGGATATACTCGAAGCGCACTGCCACTGCAAAACGGTCCGCTTCTATATTACACGCCCCGACGCCTCGAGCCGGCTCCCGTGGTCCGGGTTCTCGGACCTTATAGTTCCAGCCGCGACGTCGCCGCGCGAGGCCCGCGATAACCCGCGCGATGAGAAATGGTGGCTGCGCCCGCAGAGTAAGGATAGTACGGACCTGACTAGGTATATGGCCGGCACATGCGCCTGCCGGTCTTGCCGACTAGCTGCTGGGTTTGAAATCCAGACGTGGGCGTTTGTGCCGCGGAGTAATATTTTCTTTCTGCCGCCTGCTTCTTCTTCTCCCTCCTCATCCTTATCACCATCACCATCTTCCTCCGACGCCCTCCCCCTCGACTTCCCCGCCCTCCAGCAAGCCTATTCTCCTCTCCGCACCTACGAAAGCTCGCCCGGCGTCTTCCGCGAGTTTTGCCGGCGCTGCGGTGCCTCTGTCTTCTGGCACGATCGCTGGCGTCCCGATCTGATCGACGTGAGTGTTGGGTTACTCGGTGCGGATGAGGGAGCGCGGGCGGAGAGCTGGTCGGATTGGTGGCGTGGGAGGGTGAGTTTTCAGGAGGATGCTGAAAATGGAAGGGTTGGAGGGGTGGCGAGATGGGGGAGGAGCGTGGTAAGGACGTTGGCGGAGGGGTTAAGGGGGTGAGATGAGGAAGATGGGATGGTAGGTAGTTGAAGAAAGGGGTAAGGACTTTGAGTAGGGGTTTGGTTTGTGTATAATATGAAGTTGATGTAACGAGTTAACTAACAAATTGCCCATTCATTGTTATCAAGCAAACTATGCTTACGCGAGACCATGGTCTAGTTAGCATATTAATTAGAAGTTATATAACTACCTAAGTACATGATGCTTCAACGTCTTGAAGGAAAGATATGTCAATTCCCTCAAGAGTAGACACGGCCCCTACGCTTGAACGGACAGCTAACACCCTTTGTCAGTTAATATTACCGAGTCCCTGACCTTTATAGGTTGAAAAGAGATTTGAAATATAACATAATGTACCTCGAGAGAACGATACAGAGTATTTCATTAAGGGGGTTTGTTAGCCACCGTGATGGCCAACGGTGAGTCGCGCGCACAACTCATAGCTCTATTGACCGCTCGTCAAGGTAGTATTCACCATAGTATTAATATAAGTCCCCCTGAATTATCAGCTACCTAAGATAGACTAAATCTAAACCTAGATACCCGATTATACATGGTTCCGGATTTCAGCATAGCTCGGCGAACGTGTAATATTTTACGAACCTCTTCCACCTTTGGTGTAATAGTTACTGTATACCACGTAGATCTACTGGAATGGAGCAATCTTACTTTTAGCATCACCTCTAATTTAGTCAACCGGCTTCTCTTAGACAACTTCGGATTTCAGAGACAATCGTTTGGCAGCCTTGGAGTTGACTAGCCAGTCCTGCCAGAACTTATCAAGTAGAACTGGCCCCATTACGAACTTGATGATATTTATTATTACCGCCGAAACATTATCCAAGTCGGCTCGGGCATTTATTGCAATCCCTCGGAAACTAAGTCGACGTCCTGATTTTGCTTGTATTACCATGACTATAAAGCGCGATGACGCCCCTTAGTTGAAAGTGCTCTCTTAATACTTCACAGGTCGTCTAAAAGAAGTTGTTCAATCCGTTTTAGATAGCATCATTAGAACTCTTACTGGATCAACACTCTTGTGGGATATGGATGGCATTTTTAAGATTGAAACACCAGTATCTCTAAGCGCTAAGTCACTTTTAAAATTCTCGTAGACAACTAGAAGAATTCTAATGGCTTCTAGTAGAACTTAATTATGCCTACCTTTCACAATGGGCTCATATCGTTCCGAACTTGAAAGAAGTAAAAACGTCTTTTATCGAACCAGATCAGTTCAGATCAGACGCCCAGCTCAGATGCCCAGGCAGTCGACGAGACTAGTCAAGTTTTCGCAGCATTCTTCGTCTACTAAAAAACTGCTTTGACATTTCCAAGACACTTGGTAAGGCTAAATAGAAGGTTAAAGCCTCGCAGTTAGTGTAACCGACTGATATGACCTTCGATTTGAAATACTCCTCATGCTGTACGACAACTTCCTATTGACCAGGCCAAGGCACATAGGCACCATGAAACGGGAAAACAAGAACTATGGAATGGTAAACTGCTAGATAACACGAGAGCTATCTCAATTCCATCTGTTTACCTTCGCATGGGGAGCAGGACTAGGTTGAACAGACGCCCTTACGCTTCTCACAAAAATAATTCCAATTAAAAATCCATTAAAAAATACTTCTATTGAGAATGAATTTCCTTTGAAGACCAAAAAGAAACTGAATGGTCCCAGGCGGGCTCGAACCGCCGGCCTTCGCATTACTAGATATGACCAATGGTGATATTGGTGATATTAGTACGACGCTCTAACCAACTGAGCTATGGGACCAGACTTGGATGAATTTTTGGGACGGTAACGCGCATTAAGTCGCGCACAAACAGTGGTGGGAGCAAGAAAATTTTTTCTTTTTGTATACCGGCCGGACTTCGTGAGATGGGTCGGATCCACTCCGGTCCGCTCGAAACCATCCGGGATTAGTTCAAAAATTTCAAGAGGAATTGTTTATGCTAGATAGACACTTAAGTAAACTAAAAAATTCGAGACATTACGCCTTTACTTTCTGTGGGCAGTCTTGGGTGATCGGTCTATGGACAGTAGTAGCATATAGTACGTATATATTTTTACCCGAGTACATTACGTTTGTCGTCTCTACTTAGACACGGCTGCTGGCATATCGTACATTATGCTTCAACTAAATGGTTCGTCAACATCAGCTAAGCACTCAAGGATCAACTCTCATAGATCAAGCGCTATTTGCGCGGGAGTTCACTAAGATATATGCTTTTTAAGGGGTTGGCGATTTAATTTAAGAGGATGTAAAAAGCTAGTAAAGACGACTTATAATTACCATAGTTAGTATTTTAAAGTTTTATCGATGAGTTCCAAGAGAATAGTACTGTCAATTTTGAGAAATCTGACTAGAAAAAAGCAATTGCGGATCTACTTTCGTGATTATGTCCTTCCCCTTACACTTTTGTAGCCTAGGCTTTATGGCTGGGGTAATCTCAAGTCCTTTAAAAGGGGTAGAGAATAGGTATACGAGTTGACACTATACGAATAGAAAATATACATTCCGATATATAGCTAGTTACAACTACATGAATTAATTATAGTATAACTGACACATATTTACAAGAGCAGAGGAAATAAACAAGACTTGACACTAGGCCATTTATATCACCTATAGTCTAAGTCCCACCGGAGTCTACAAGCACTGCGAAATACTCCCAATATCCAAGAGTAACAGGAGACGTAACATAATGATAATCTTTATAAGAATTTAGTAATAAAACGGCTCCGTCCGGCGTGAAAGACTTAAGACCCGGAAAAAGGGGCCACTTATCCGAATATATGATACGGCCGTCTACCGCGTCCGGAAGCGAATACCCGCCGATATCAACCAACCCCTTCGCTCCGCCACCGTCTCAAGAGGAAAGTCCCGGAAGGTCCCGGAACTCACTCCTAAGCCGGGATGAACCGGGCACAGCTCCGGAAATCCGGCATCACCCGAGCGCCGGGTCAAGTCGGCACCACGGGGCAGGCACATGCAACTCGCACGAGCATCTCGCTCACCTCGTCTGTGCGACGATAATAATCATGCAAGGAGGTCACGATAACCTCATCCCCCATCAACATAGATAGATACTTCTAGGCTAGATCTATCTACCCATCCCGATACTTTCCCCACCTGCCAACCCAACAAGTCCCGGCTAGCACTAACACCTTCTGCTCCTTGTATGTAAGTCCTTGCGCAACATCGGCATCTCCCAGCCGAGCGCGCTCGCCGTGGCGTTTTCGAAGGGATTCTAAGAAGGAATAGAGCGCGACCTGTGTCGCACCCCACGCATCACATGCCTGCGCCTTTCTTTCCCTTTCCCTTCCCTCCCTTCCCTCCCTCTCATCTACCGCGCCCTTGACAAATCAGATATGCGATTTGATATTATATCGCCGACGACAGCAAAAGCCATCGCTAGCCGCAGTCCCAGCTCCCAACCCACCGTAGGACTAGAACGCTTCCCTTCGACCTTCAGCCCGCAGATCGACCCCCCGTTCCGGGACGAGTGCATGCCACGGTAGGACTGCAAACTGGTCCAACGCTGCGGAACAAATAGCCAAGATGGAACAAGCTTTTCGCATGCGGCATCAAGGTTACGCGGCAGGTACGAGCACTGCTACCTACGTAGTGTGTGGTCTCTGATGTATGGCTGGGTACTATATAGCTACCGGTATATGACTGCCAGGCCATGTACGGCGGTGCATACGACGTAATGCAAATACACGCGTGCATGTACGGTATGCGTATGTATATGACATGTACAATCTATCTAACTAGGTGGAGGCACCGTAGCAGCCCTATATACATACATGGGGGGGAGCAGAGGTGACATGGCATGGCATTTTTTTTTTTCGTGCGTCGGAGACGGGCCAGACGAGTGGGAAAAAGGAGACCCTGTATGTAAACTAACAAAGCCCCGATGCGTCCAGCTCGAAACAGAAAAGACGTTGTTTCCTGTGGCACACCGACACCAGCACGCACCCAACGTCCATCATACCGCATGACACCCTCTCGCCAGATCCTTTCCATCCCTCCGCCGAAAGAAGAAGGGTGTGAGAGAGAGCAAAATTCAAGGTTATTTGGTTATTTGGTTATTATAGCTCAGTCCAATCGTTCCTAATTATTATAACTCAATCGGTAAGATAGGGGATCAGAAAAAGGCCTCGTCGCCGGTTAAGGTAACAGAGTAGGTAAATTCGGGTAATATGGCGTCGTGGTAGGGATTTGTGACGGCAAAGTCTCGAGGAAGTATACAAGACTTTGGCGGGACATTAGCTTCGAGACCGTCGATATACACTACATACAGCACGGGAAATAAGTCACACTCAACATTACTCACTACGGTCACCCGTTTCTTACTCGCTCACGCCAGGCCAACCTTTGCCACGTCTAGCTGGGGACCGAAGATCTCACGCTCATCTGATCCATCTAAGATGAAATCGCGCGGCAAAGCAGAGCGAAGGGCGAGAATCCACAGTATTATGGGTATAGGCTTAGTAGTAGGTAGGACCTTTCCTAACACCGGCGCTCATCTCATGATCTGCTGTCGTTGTAGCCCGTGCCGTGTTCGCAGTACACAGGTTAGGTAATGCGATCTATATATGTAGTCCGAAATCTATCTCTCGCCCACTTCCTCCTCAAGATGCGGCTCGCTTGGCGTATCGTTGCCAAGGCGCCCGACATCTCGCCAGCGCTCGTCTTGCAGGCTGGGCAGGGGACTTGGAGGGAAGGGGACCTGACAAGCCGGTAGAACCTTGTCTAGGCATTATTCCCATCTCAATGACGTCGCCCTGTTGTAAAAGACGTCCTTTTCCGTATAGCTTTCGTACTATAGGGTACCATATTAAAACTATGCGCGATTGACACTTAGGATTGACACTGCGTATGCGTAGAGGGATATCTCGACTTGCAGTACACCACGTATGTACGGGTCCCTACGTACCTCGTCAGAAAGCGCGTGCGTGTGACTGTAGATACCCACTAGAAAGGCTATTCTGGCCGATGGGAGACGACCGGTTCATACTTACGGAATACATAGCGCACCTTTCGCTGCACGCGTCTCTCGCCCCGTAAGCTATCCATGCACTTGTTTCAACTGCTAAACCAACAATACCTTAGGTACCGTAGTAGCAGTAGCAGTAGAGCCGAGGCCCAGCAGAAAAATTAGATATACTAGTAATAAGCCGATGCTCGTTCGGGTTTGGAAAGCCGGAGCAGAGTACCGGGAAATGCCCCCAACTACTCAAAGTCCCCCACGTAAAGTAGAAGCAATGCAATTGAAATCCAACCGTGTCGAGGTTGTATCTATGTATGTATGATCATCACCCGCCAAAGGGGAGTAAAGCCGCGGTCCTACTCGACGGGATCTGATAATTTTCTGGTGATGATACCCTGGCGGGATCTCACCCAGTGCGCGCGCGCGCGCGCAGGTGTAAATGAAATCGCGATGGCATAAGATGAGATGAGATAGATGTGTATGTATGGACGTATACATAGAAAGCGACAGGTATATACGTAGTAAGTCTGGAATTTCAGATGACGGATCGCCGATTTTTGCTTAATCGAAACCCGGGCAGGTAAGCTGCACCCATCTCATCACTCCGTATCACCCCCCCCTCCATTCACACCGGCCGCCTTGAGCTCGCAGATGTATGAGAAATCCCATCGTCACGGCGGGCACGAATCACACGGGCCAGGGAACACCCCCTCGCCAACCGCAGCGAGGGAGGAATGCCCGGCGATGCGGCAAAAGCGGCAACAAGCGCGGAAAAGGGATGATTTAGCCATTCACGTTAGTTTAGCTTCTGAAGCCCTCAAAGGCTAAAGTCCTGAAGCCTAGTAGTTCTACACGTGAGTTGTTAGCCGGGGTCGGTACCGAGAGTGACGGGGGAGAAAAGGTCCACTAACTACACGTGTATGAGTGTAGTTGATATGTATGGCTTCGACCGTCTACGTCTTCTCGGACGAGTCATTCGCTAACTTCATCCACTATTCATTTATCTCCGTAATAGGCAGTCGAGGTTTCGGCGATATTACTGCAATTGCCATTATTCATATCAACTTTTTTTCGCGCGTCGGCAGGCAAAGCGAAGAACGTGTGTCCGAAAAAAGGAGCAAAGAAGGTCTCCCCCACACGTGGTAGCACACAGTTCCCAGCGCTTTCCCCTTCCCTGCTTCTGTCTGGGTTCTGGAAAGTGGATTACCGCTTCCGGATAGATAACATGCTAAAGCGGAGGATGCGATTGGCCAACTTTGAGCGCCGGGGGTCCAGGTCTTTCATAGTACGGTAGCACATGCATAAATTGACGTAGTACACAATTTATGTATGTACACTAGATACCTAGGTACCTGTCAAGACGTACATTATGGATACTTACATGTATGGAAGTATCCATATATACCTATGTACTGTACCTACTGTACCTGCTGTTAGATTAATGCGAAAGATAGTACCCAAGATAGAACCATAAGTAGGGCAGGGAGCCATTTTAGCAGACGCACCATGCAGGTTCTGCATTTGCATTTGCGAAAAGGCTTATTTGTGCTTGGCTGCTACGCTAGACAATTTGAAGGGCGAACCCAGTTGAGCGCTAGGCGAGAGACGATTCATTGGCCGCGAACGAACCACGGGCCAGCAAAGTTGTTCATTGGAAATTCCGTACGCCCGGGAATAACGAGGACTCGCGACTAAACGCTAGCTTCAGGTAAGATTTGAACAAAACGCTTGTTTAGCGCGTCCTAGCTGATTTATGTACGGTCACTCGATCAGCGCGAGACGCCGACGCCGACGAGCTAGGGTTATGTAAGTGGTTTAGCTTTGTAAGTAGGAAAGTACAAGTATACTTACCATTAATGGATTCAATTGCATCCAATGCATGCATGCAACTTGGAAGCTTCGACGGTACCTGTGTAAATCTCACAAGATCTAAAGGCAAATCTAAGATCCTCACTTTCGCAAATCATGATATCGGACCATCACGCATTTTCTATTTTCTTCAAACGGCGCGACGAACCTGATGCTTAAACCGATCAGGGGATGAATGTAATTACATAGACAAGAGATTAGACTTACGTACGATTAAACCCGTCGTCAGTTCAAGACTTTTCTACTCAACGCCACGGCGCGGCACCGTTTTTGATAGTGGTGTTCTGGAGTAACACATAACGATCTGTGTTCCCGTGCTTGGCCAGCAACGTTGGATACTTACATTTTGTGGAGAAAAAGCAATATGTGTGTGCTACATTCTTTGGTCCTCGCCTGCAGTGAGTGTCTTGATAAGTTGATACACTTAGCTGCGAGTTGCACCACGCCAGTGGTTTACCATTGCGTCGGGTCCAACTTCAGACATTCTGTAATATACGAGACACGATAATATCACTTTGCATGTACTAAATATTTGCTTTAACGTATTCTATTCTGGCTTCCTGCGGGTAATTTCGCAGTATGACGAAGCTTCTATCGAGAGGGACGACCAACCCCATATTAGCCCTTTCAGGTAGGACCATGCAAAGGTCGATTTCTATCATTAGGATAATGTAATCTGATACTGGAAAGGTCAGAATTCTGCCTCGTGAGATCCCTGCCCGCTCGTGCAATTTTTGGGGTTCAACTGTGATACCACCTCCCCTCAATGCTTATGCTGGTAACCGCGAGTGCTATGTTCAGCCGCTCAAATGACGACGCAAAAAAACATGATCAAAGAAAGGAATTCAGTATGTACGGTGTTGGCACCAATACTTTATATCATCCATGACCGCGTTTAGAAAAAATGCAGACCACTGCGACAAAATCCCTTGTCGCCTGCTCCCTAATCTCCCGGGATATATTCGTAGAACGCCGCCATATCAACACAAATCGTAACCTAAAGTTTATGCAACGAAGAGAAGAAAGAAAAGTCTCTCCTTAGTAGCCGGGTTTGCCAGGCATCGGAGGTAGGCCGTGTCCCGTACTCATAGGAGGTAAATGGTTGTGGCAGAAGATCTTGTTTGCACCCGACTTCATCCAGTCTTTCTTGGAGGCATCAATAAACTTGGTGGGATCTTCGTAGCTCTCCAGCTGGCAGCACTCGACGTTCTTCATCCACCTATTCGACATAACTTCGCTCATCGTGATGCGCTTCTTCGGGTTGGGATTGAGCATCTTCAATAGCAGACGTCGAAGAGGTGCCGGTTTGACGCATACCTCAAACGCAGCAACTTTGGGATAGGTATCATCGCCGATCGCACTAGGGTTCGCTTCTTTCTTGGCATTGATCTTTGTCCAACCATTATTGAGTTCGTTATACGTTTTTTGACTTGGGGATGTCAAGCCTGCCTGCGCTTTCTCCCACAAGTTGGCATTGAAGACAAGGTACAGCATGACAATAGCCGAACTCCAAACATCCAAGGCGCGGGGATCATAGTCAACATCCTTACTAAGGACTTCGGGGGCTATGTATGGGAGACTGCCGCAGATACCAGGTTTGCAGAGACGTATGTCACCCATACCCACACCGCACTGGCCACCGGCTTCCCGCAGACCAGGATGTATACCGGAGAAGACTTCAGAAACACCAAAATCCGTTATCTTTAGCTTGCTATCTTTGGTGATCAATAGATTCTCCAGTTTGATATCCCGGTGGGCGATGCCATTCGAATGCAAATAGTTGATTCCTTGGCAGAGCTGCTTGAACAAGCATATGCGGTCAATCTCGCGAGACTCTTCTCGGAGATACTTCTTCGAAACCAGGCCGAAAAGGTCGCCTTCGGAACAGTACTCCATTACATGATTCCAACGTCCATGGTCAGTACACAAGCGAACAGTCTCGACAATGTTTGGATGGTGTAAACTCTTTGCGATGCTATACTCGGATTTTATCTTCTTCTCGTACTCCTCGGTAGTTTCCGACGAGCTCTTGGAGCGGAATTCCTTAACAGCGTACAGTTCACCAGGATTACCCTTGCGGACCATAAGAGTAACTTTTGATGTTGCGCCTTTACCTAAGTGCTTTCCGTGGCGACCTAGGAATTTGTGCTGGTATTCGAACTCTTTTGTGAGATCCGCAACATCAACCGTGAAGTCGTCGGGAAGACTGAGACTTAGTCTCCTGGCCTTCATGCCAGTACCGGCGTCCGGAGGAATTGCCCATGGCTGTCTTGTTAGTTCCTCCTCGTTCTTCTTCTTTCGTTCTAGACTCTTTGTTCGTCGGTGTGAATGAGTCTTAGTCGATGCAAACCCTACTACTCTATTGCGAATAGAAAGGCCGGTGTTTGCTCTGGCTTTCTTAGAGTTGTTTTCTAAAAAGTCGCGCGACGTAGGTATAGACGCGTTATTGGACTTTTCATGTGAATTGGGGAGCGAATCTGAAGGAGAGGCAGGTGACGGTGGGGTGTTAGATCTTGTCGATGCGACTGAACGGTGATAAGAGAAGCGACGGCGGCTTGCATTTGGGGTTACCCTATTGGTAGAGGCGAGAGTAGAATCAGATGTCTCTCCATTGTAATTGGGTTCTCTAAATTCCGTTGTTACACTACTGTCCCCCACGTGGTAACTGTTGCGCTTAAAAATTGACGCCATCTTAGATAGCGCAGACGAGGAACGTCGCGCAATAAATCTTACTGGAGCTGTAGTTGTTGATGAGCGTCGATCTGAATTAGGTCGGCTGTATTCAGATTGTGTCGAAAATGGTCTATTTAATGGTTCGTGAGAAACCACTGGTGCGATAGACGTAGGCGACAATAGAGCAACTTGCGATGGTAGAGGAAGGGTAGCAATTGAAGGAGAGAATAAAAGAGCCGGGTTCGTGACGTCTTTATTTACAGCAGTGAGGGAAACATCGGAATGCTCTTGAACACCTGATGCAGAAGCAGCGAGACCATTAGTAATAGAGTCGCGACGCAGGTAAGTATCGTTCTGTTCGCAATAGCGAAAATCCCGTGATTGTCTCCCGCTAACTGGTGTAGCGGGTTCGTTAGAGAAAGATTCACTACCGGTCTCTTCGGTTTCCTCGTCGTGCTCCTCGGGGATTGGACCTGTGAGGTCTAGAGGATAACGCCCCAACGACTCAATTGGAGTCTGACTGTTATTAGAACAGGCGGAAGTAGAGGTAGAAGTATTTGTAGTGTTGAGAGAAATAATAGAGGGTGACGGAGAGATGTCTGTAGGTTTAAAAGTTAGTTAATTATAAATTTCTTTGAAGGTCGGGATTTTAGAAAGAGTGGGTTGGGGAGGCTGAATATACCTAAAGGAGTTGTTGATGCAGATGACGAAATGCGAGTAACAAAAGTTGCAGCGTCACCTGCTGTTATTGCGGTGTCAAAGGAAGAGAGACGCAACGACTGGCTTGAAGCGGGTGAATGCGAGTTATCGGAGGGCAACAGCGATGACATCGCCGGGGACAGGGTCTTGGTTTGGGTTTGTGGGGCTGCCATTGTTATAAATTGGTTGGTACTTTCGTACCGATCCAGTTATACACTTTTAGTACAATGCTAGTACAACAAATACCTCTTAGGTGTAATTATGACAGGGCGCTAGTCTCAGGGCGACGCTAGGCTTACTTTGCCAGGTGCCAGGTGCCAGGTCAAAGAGTCAGGAGCTGGAGGGAATGGGCTTAGCTTAGGTGGGAAAAGCCTTAGCGGGGGTCAGAATCGGTGGGATAATGATGACTGTTAATGACCTATAACGGCTGGCTGTAAATGGTCGGAGGGTCGCAGATTAAGTGGAAGCAGCTGACAAAGTTGGTTGGGAGGTATGGCGGGACTTCGGCCGTGATTCGAACTTTTGAAGCGTTATTTTCCGCGCTGCTTCAAACTTAGACTTAGAAGGGCCGTAAAATCTGTAAAATCTTGGATTCCTATCCGAAAAGGTAGACTGATCCGGCCAGGCACACCAGCCCATATCCTAGCCCAGGTAGCCTTTTTTATTTTATTCTTCTATCAAGGTCAAGCCAAAAGGACTCGACTAGCGGCTTAGGCAAGTTCAGACTAAAGGATCACTTCTCACTATGGAGAACCCTCGGTAATCGGTAGTCGGTAGTCGGAGAAGTAACTCGGTCGATTCGGGTTTCCGATGACGTTCTTTGTTGTTGCTGGTTGGTGAAGAAAAGCGCATTCGATATTTTCTTCTCCCTTAAGTCCTTAAGTCCTAAAGGCGGCTGAACAATACCGGTCTAGTATAGTTGTGGTAACCTCGACGGGACGGCAGAAACAGCAGCCGATCCTTGTCGTTTTCGGAGATGTAGTCGTCAAGTCTCGTACATGGAAGAAGTCCGAGGTAAAACTAAGAACGCAAAGACAAAAGGGTCCTAGAAATGTGGCTTGGCTGTGTCCTTCTTCGAATGTTCGATGCAGGTGTTCGACGGGTAGGTGGGTGGTGGTTATGGTTTAATAATAAATGTAGTATGCTGCAATGTCGTGGGTTGCACACACCGCGGAAGTATTATAATAGGGTCCAGAGATCTACGTTCCCTGAATGCCAAGGCAAACAGCGATGAAGAGGAAGGCAAGGAAAGATTCGGGAGGGGATGCAAGCCGGTATTATAATAGCAATTGCAGAGTTAGGTTAGGGGCTGAATTCTTGACATGGTAGTGAGCGTTATAGTCTGTATGTAAGTCGAAGCTTGTGGGCACTTTGTTGATCTTTGGCCCAAGTCGTAATGTGCATGCGAGCAACCCACTACTACGGTACCCTAGCTCGCAGCAAAGTGCGAAGTACGAAAGGCGTCTGTAGGTGTAATCAAGGTAGTATAGTACACCAGTACAAGAGAGTAAAGATGACCTATACTAGCTAGCTGCAGAGGACCCTGCGGAGACGGGGCTAGAGGAAGCCGCCTGCAGGAAGGTTGATGTGTGGCCCGGCCAGGATCAAACTTAGGTAGGTTTGAAGTTGGGGTGGTTGTACTAGAGAATATGTTATGAGTGTATAAAATAAATGGCTGTAAGTGGGAGCAGTGGGAGCAGTGGGTAGCACGGCGGCGTGGGGAGAAGAAATGTCGACTTAAGTTGTAACTTAAAAATCCCAGGAGTGAGGAGGACAGAAAAAGACTCAAAAGCCCCCAATTCCCAGGGGTGATCTAAGATACTAGTACTGCTTCAATTTTGAGTCTCGGACTTTCAAAGCACTTGGCATACATTGCTTCAGCGGCATCATACATAGTGCTTTGTGTCGAAATATGGCTCTGGCTCCCTTGAGAGCCTGAGTTGAGTAGGACATGTGTGCGCAGTAATTGCGCGGCAAAATCCATGCGTGCCTTGGCAAAGTCGACCATCGTCTACTATGTATGTACATACACCATCTACAATCTAGTACCTTAGTACTATGTATAGATCGATGGGTCAGAATGGAGAACGTGAGATTACGATATCGACTAGTAGTTCAGCATAACTCACGTCAAGCACGCCTAGTGTCGTAATACATGTAATCAAACCGTGGTGGGAGCAGGAGGTACCATAACGGGTATCGTATACTTCCTAGGGACACCACTGCGGCGAAACGGGGATAATGTGGAGGGAGACACTTCATAGCTTGTATTTTACCACAGTATTATTCGTTACTTTGAAAAGGCTCTAATGTACCATTTAATCAAAGAATTAACTCTAGCTGTTTCTTGGGTCCTTGGAGACCCCAGCTCAGAGTGGGTGTCCCTATCGTGTAAGTGGAAGTGGGTAAACCAGGGGCGCTATTCCCACATCAATCACCGAAGAGTCGAAATGTCTTCATAACTTTATGCTCGATTACAATTCTGTAAAAGTAATAGGAACGAATAGCATTGGTCAAGAGTGAAACCCGATTGGAACGTCTTAAGGGTCTAGTGTAAATCACGAAGCAAGATAGTAATGGTATACAGATATGACGTTCTCCGGTTCCATTATCATCCCCAGATGACCGATGTTTTCCAAGTTATCTAGTAGCAACGTGACAGGTATTTACCAAAGGACACTGCAGCGAAAATCGTAGGCATATGGGTAGATCTCGTGTACCCATCTTCTTCGACATCTGTTCTAGAAGATATGAAGCCAAGACGAATTTCCCCTCTTCGCAGTTACCAGTACTTCCATTCCCTGCCAAGGATACGTTTTTTTTTTGTGCTAGTTACATATTTTGCGAATTGGCCAGAAGAGATTAACAGAAGACTCGAAAAGTGATTGCCGTTGGTGAATTTCTTGGCTGTGTAATTCGGTCCTCAGTTATGTTCGGAAGCAAAAACAATTGGCAATACCAAGAAGCCTTCATCTATTTGCTGGTTCAGACCAAGGCCTTGGCGTCGCGCGTCCGACCCAGCCACTACCCTACGTCTCACGCCCGCCAAGAGCCGGTGGTTTTTACATCCGCCATTAGAAGAAGGAAGCGTGCGCTAATAATAATAGAAGCGGTTTTTGACACTAGACGCCAGAAGCATTCGCAAGGAATCATGATTGTCGACTAAGTTGCGAGTTTCGATCGAGATGATGTAAGTGTTCAAGCTTCAGACGCCCCTGAACCCTTCAGCAGCGTAGAAATAATAGCCAGATGCAATTACGAAGAGTCCAGCTTATTCGCTGAAGGTTTTCTTGTGTAACGAGGATAAACATCCATCGTTGGAATGGTGACACGAGCCAGTCTCTTCAACGCCCGATCCTACATGCGTCATATCAGGTGTGAACACCTATGTAGATGATGATCTATGAAGCCAGTTTATCTACTGTTCCAAAAGTTACTGATCAGCGATAGCCACATAGCTCATCGTCGCAAGGTAACTGACTGGTGCGATAGCCGATGGGATATGAGTTTCGCTCGACCGGAACACTCGAGTTCGTGCTATGAATCTAGGTATCGGTATTAACCTAAGATTGTCCCGATGAATCTATGTCGATAGAGCCGCCAAGGCCAAGCGATCATCGTTGTTGCTCATTGGTTGATGCGCCGAGCATTGGCAGATGTATCTAGGGAGATATTCTTGGATCCTGCCTTTCCAAACGTTTCGGTCTTGACAGTTGTCTCTATTACGGTCTTCGGTCCATTGCGTACCCAACGAGGCTTATCAAGAAGATGTGATCATTCCGAGACGCTCCGAGCGCGGCTGCGGTATGTGTCGTCGTCTGGTTGCGCGGCGCCGCATTTCCGCCCCCTTTCGTGATTTGCCCACCTTACCGGGTCTTTTCCTAGGCGGGTTTTGATGCCCACTGGAGGATCTCTAGATCTACCCAAAACGATGTAGATGGACGACATGCCTTACCAGACCCTTGAATTGGACATCACTGCAGCGCTCGCGACATCTAGTCATAGTTTCTATCTCGATTCCCAGTTTAAACTCCAACAGAATGGTATTAACCTATCATCCAAGCCACGGGCGGCAGGGCACCAACTAGATTTGCCAGCCATTATCTAAACTAGCCATTATCTAGCATACCATATCATTCGCCACAAATGCTTGGGTGTCTCATCAACTACCGACAGTAGCGGGCTTCTTCCGGGCTTCCTGCGCGCTCCTCGTTTATTGACGGAGAGCGCGATGACGACAGGAGGGAGTAAGATCATGATAAAAAAAATTTTTTTTTTTTTTTTGGCCTTTCATGTTTCTATACTTGGCTAGAATACCCGACCACAGACGCCGTTTAAAAATATCAGTATACGGAGACAATATAAATCCCTATCTAAACCGTGTGATGGTCTAGACGCTATGATTGGCTACTGTCGTCAAATGTCTCAGTCTTCTAAGTGGTAACTATCGACCTCGCTATTTCTTGGTAGTCATCGTTAGTGAGAACATCTACCTTGGCTCATTCCCGATTTTGAGGCAGGCCAAGCTGAAATGATCAAGGTTATATATATAGTAGACCGAATGAAGAAATAGGCTTCGGTCGAGATTTTCGCCTAGCATCATCGCCTAGCCAGCACGACGCCGGCTGAATGCCACGCAGGCGCCTTCACAGTGGCGGCCAAGACTCGATTGCCCGTCAACCGAGAAGCATCTCGGAACGGCGTTATGCTTCAATCTCCTTCAATCATATCGTGCATTCCCACGAGCCCAACTCTATTCCATATCCCATCCGACACGATAGCAGCCACGCCTCTAGCGCTTGAAGCCGGCGCCAGTTCAAACCCAACTGGCACGAAAGGCGGCAGGCATCTCAAATCCTATTACTTATGTTGTTACATTCGTAACAAAGCCGGTTTAGTCGAATAAGGCAATCCGCTAATCATCTAACAGGGCTAGGTATTTCTCAACCTTGCCCTTAAGTAGTCTACTGGATGGAAGCGTTGTATTTCCCCCCACGCAACTAAGGCCGATGATTGGGCCGTTTGACCTCAAGTGCTTCTGCAGTCGTCCCAAAAGAGCAGACTTGTGCAGCTTCGTTACGCGTGGTACCTACTACATAGTATGTAGTAACGAATCGGGGGACCCTCTGCGGATCAGAATCTTCACCTCTCGTGACCTGAGCAATTGCATTACCCTCCTGCATTAGTTGGTGTCAATTCGATGCGAAAATACACAATATGGTTGAAATGTGTCGAGCCGTCTTGGCTCTACTGTCCTCCCACTGCGATGAATAGTAAACCATGATTACTTTGTTTTGAGATCTTGTCTTCTATCTAAATATTAAAAATAAAGGGCCAAGAGAATTGGGCTAGGCCATTCTAATTTGTGTTATTTGTGAGAGGCCTAGTGTATGGCAATTCTTACGCTTGGCGAAGCAGTCAGCCTTCTGAGGCTCTTGGCTGAACACAAGATCGGCAAGTCATTCTCTCTCTGTGTATGAACAGAATTGTCTCTTTTTGTTTCGCTTCGGCTTGGCTGACTACCAAAGCTAGAGTCGCAAGAAATTGAATTAGCGAGATCAAGACCTGGCGCCTCGTCTTTCCATGTCCCATCCCCATTAACGGGAAGGTCTCTAGTCCTCATTAGTAAAAGGGGCTGGTCCAAATTACTTTGAGGGATTTATTCCGTAGCCTCGGCCACGTATCGACATGGTTACCCATGGGGTACGTATCGGGATAAAAGGAACCAGTGTTGGATTTTCTTGGGCGAGGCAATCAAGTAGCGTCTAGCAACTCGGTTACCGTCGATGACATTGAAATGATGACAACCATGAGAACCGTAACCAGCCAGCCAGCCAGCGCAGCCCGAACTGCTACTATAATTGTAACCGGGCAGTTCGTGATCTCTGGGTGGCCGCCCTTGTTAATGAGAACCTCCAAACGTGGCGTCTCAATCCATGCTCAACTAAGAAAAGCCTCACAGCCTACCGTCGTTGTCAGCTTCAGCAAACTATTGCAGAAGTGGCGGTGAATAAGCTTTTTAGTGATTAAACCATCTCGGCCAGCCAGCGGAACGCATAAGTTTTTGGGTGTACCAACAAAATCCAACTAGAAATTCCAATCTCGCCTATGTACAGGGAACGCACGTATGTAGTAACTCGTCTCGTGCAAGAAATCTTCCCAGTCTGCAGGAATCATGACGAGCAGGTGTTGGGGCAAGACTATGTATCAGCAAAACATCTAACTAAGCTAACATAAGTCAACATCATTGGTGAGAATCTCTCCGCCTCCAGGTTTTCCCCACGTCAGCGAGCGAAACCCCCTTGTGAATGTGCTCACCGTCATGTGCTGTCTTACCTTCTTCGGGGTCAAGGGAGTCCCCAGTTATTCGTCATTTGCAGGAAGCTTGTTTTGGTTGTGAAGGCAGGCTCGCGAGATTAGCCCCCATCGACGGCACAGACCATGATGTTCATCACGAGCCAAGACGGGTACTAAGAGTAGTGCATGACAATTACCCCTGCTCAACGCTTCATCCCGTCTTGTTAGTATCCTAGAGACACCCATCTTTTCGACACCCTTTTCCAACGCCTTCGTACACAATTTCTAGCAGGTCGACGAGACGTGCGTGTAAGACATGCTTGTACCGCTGCTTACTTTATCCCACGCGGCCGCTCTACGTATATCAGCTTGCTTGCTGAAACATGCAAGTTGTAAAAATACCTCATGCTAACACTTCTAGACCGCGTTCCAGCACGTTTTGTTTCTGTTTATGTACATCGTACAAGATGACAGTAGAACAGGTACCAACGTGCTCGGGAAGTACCGCAGACTACATAGCCGTCCCAGGTATCATATCCAACGGCCTCCTTTTCAAGGATGGCGACGGCTGCCGGTTATGAAGGCTGCCAATGAGTCCGACGTGCCTTGCTGTCGGCTGCGTGACTCGTAAAGTCCCACTGCCGTCCCTGCCAAGTCGATTGTGGTAGATCAAATCTCTTGGTATCTAAAAGGACTGGCTACAAGCTCGGTCCGACCATACTTGGCGTCCTCTAAGAAAGGGATCGTGTCCTTGGCATCGCTGACGGGCGAAAGCAGTCAAATTGGCTACCTGGGATCCCCCTTCCCTCCTTATGTATAAGGGGGCAGCCATCATTACCGGTCCAGCCCGGAGATTCGTGTACGGGGCCAGAGTGGCTTCGGTCGGGCTGCGTACCGGAATGCAAAGACACATTCCCTACTTAAACTTAACTACCTTCCGATGCACGCACCTTGCAGGCAAAAAGGGGTTCCGGGGATGTGCGACAATTATGCACATCAGCTGAGAGGATCTCTGGGAGGACAGTGCGGTGTTGCAAATTAAGCAATGCACATATGCTTCCAGACGAGGCGAGCGTCCGCAGTTACTTGCGTCTCGCCCGAAACTGGCGGGTTTCGCAGGTGGCCGCTTGTCTAGACAGTTGCGTTTTGCGTTTCTTGCCAAGGAGATGTGCAACGTGCCTCAAGTTCAAAAGGCGACGATTGTGTCTCGCATACCTTACCGCGCGTCCTTTTGATCGAGTTTGCCTATGTTACTGGTACCAAAGGTCAAACATAGACATTGCCTGCGAATCGACGGCTCGAGGAATGTTGCCAAGCTTCAAGCTGGTTTCTGCGACCGGGTTGACGTGTCATTGATATCCACTCTCTAGGAAACGAAGCCTTAAACACATTCGCGTTCTCAATTGTTTCTATCCCTGATTGACCGCGTACTGTAACGTGTTGATACCAATCCCGAAACGGAAGAAGTATAGACGTAAGACCTAAATCTCGCTTCACTTTGAAAGCCATTGCCCCGATCGGCATACTCTATCGTGTCATCATGACGGCAGGAGAGTGATACACCCGCTGCCGCTGACGACGGAGCCAAGGACGGGCTTACATATACGTCAAACGTAGTTTCGACGCCCGAGTACGGCGCAACACGGTCTCTAGCTTCCACCGGGGGTGTTTCGGGTAGCCCGGAAAAGCAGTTTACTTTTTAAGAATCGTGCAGTTTCTATCTCTAGACTTAGTCGTAACCAAAGTGACACTAATTCTTACAAGGGAAATCCTCCTTACAATCCTTATATGTCCAAATGAGGCGTCCATACCTGCGCGAACTGCAATTTTAGGAAGTCAATACGCCTAGTTGATCAAACTAAGTCGCACCATAGTAGAATTCGTTAAAATGCCCAGGGTACAGCATCCGATTTTAGCTTTACATGTTTCTATTACGCCCTACACTATGGTATCTACGGGTTAGATTGAGATGGATTAGGTCGGTCTCCTTTTATTCAAAACGCGAGGCTAGAGTTCAAAGAAGCTTATGGAGAAACAACGAATAGGCGCTGTCGTACACTGTAACGATGGTCCAACTTTCGAGTTCGCCCGAAATAAACGACATATACGATAACTCGTTGAGGACTACGTAAAAATTCATGATACGGAGACAAACACTACTGACAACGATAACTATCTTCCTCTCTGTAAGCCATAAGGATCACCATGAGATAAATACAATCTCGGTTCCCCAAGCTACACTCGTCTGAAACTTTGTGGTACTTGCCACAAAACGCTATGAAAGTTTAAGCGAGCGAGCAAGCGGTCAGTTTTCATCTCTAGGGGTACACATTCAATAGCCTAAGGACGATCGACTCTACATGATCATTTAGTTACTATAAACTGCGTCAACTCGTATTGGAGACTGCTATGTATACTACTCTAATGTATACATACATGTATGTTAAGACCCCTATTATACATGGAAAAGGATATCTTGGCTATCATGCGTAAGAAGACCATCAATAAGGCTTCTGCATGGAGCTCTTAAAGTCCAACCAAACAGTATAGAGCCGGCTTTGCTGGAGTATGACGGGTAGGGCTATTGTGGCAATACCTTAGAACTGTACTCATGGGCGGTGAGCTTAACAGTTTTAAGTCTTCCTATCCATTCACAAGGCTTCGGGTCATCATGAACTTGATACCAGACAGCCTATGGCAATTCCATGCATCTCAGAATATGCCTCTAGTTCTTCTTTACCGTATACAGTCCTTATACAAAGGGGCCGTTATGAACGGTTAGGATAGCACCATACGTATACCCCCATTGTCAGTTTCCGGCATACGTTAGGATCCCTTATCCCATGTAAGTCAAGTCAAGTTCATCTACTCTCTATGCGTTCTCAGAGGTTACCACGGAAGCCGGTTTCCCTTGTCCCGATATTAACAAGCCAACCTGGACGCTAGATTTTAGATGCATCTACACTTGCAGTCTTAGGGCTAGCCACATAGCGCCACCACTCACTGTTGGTATGGTTGAAGCAGCAAGCCAAGGCACTACTACAATGGCCCTATCGGCTTATATACCGGCACCGCTTCTTTACTCGCTCTTTATATAAAAATAAGGTAAGGTACCTAGGTAATTACGTCTCACAAAGATAACGTGAGATAAATATTTTTCTTTGCCCGGTTTCATAAAACTGAGTAACGCATATTAGAGCTGGCTCTGCCCGCTGGGCCTTACTACCATGGCCGCGTGGTCCTCTTATCATGCATGTCGGCAATGCATCATGTAAGTCACGGAGAAAAGAAAGGAAAAAGTCAGCCCACTTAGCCAATTTTTTTCCTATGTATCTCCTCCAGCATCAGTCTTGTGGAGGTTCTTATAGTCCGCCATTGGAAAAGCAGTCCAACCCAGCTGGGCTTGGAAACCGCCACATGTAACATGTAAGCTGACCAGCATGCTCCCAGAGGAATATTAAGCCACAATAGTCTATTCTAGTACTACTACTTAACGGCGGTCCTCAACGCAATATCTTCGTCTATTGAAAAGTGTACGCCACGGACGTTGCTGATTCCCCCAACGGAACCCGTTGGCTGGTCTTCGAGGTAGCGCGTTTACTTCTCCCTTGATACCGTACACGTAAGATTCAGGGTTCTGCTTGCTTACAGTGTTAACTGTACTAAATGTCTAGTCAGCATGGAGTTGGACCTACATGGAATAGGGGGAAGAAATAAACTGAGATTATACGGAAACCGGTCTATCTACGTTTTATGGATTCACGTGTGCTAGGACAGATCAATATGGTCAAATTTCGGGGGGTAATTTTACTCCATTTTTTTGCTACTTTTCTACTTTTCTATAGACCACGGACCAGCCGCGGTGTTCTAAGGTAAGCTCACAAGCTTATGTTTAGCAGAGTGTCCTGTGGATTTCGGCAAAGTCTACGATGCCTGTCTCATCCAGAGACGTATCTACGGTCCTCTGTATGCTCTAGCCATAGCTAGTACTTGAAGGAAGGGCGTAGGAGGTCTGGAGCACCTTCTACTGCTCTACTTCCAAGGGCCCAGTTTACCTAATGGCCATCACGTGTATCCGAGCTGTCAGAGCTCGATGAGCCTCGTCGCTCTCCGCTCTCCTCATCATTAGCCCCCTTTTTAGGATCCGTGAATATAACGAGACAATTTTGGCAGCGGGGCGTCGTTCGATGGGGACAGTCTGGTTTGTGTGGGTTTGAGCAAAGGCTACCACTGCTACGCCATTGGCACTGGCAGCATACGAACCCAATGGGTTGGTGGAATTCCGTCGTGGGAATACTAGGGGTCTCCATATTGGTGGTGTTATGGGTGCTGGAAGAAGAAGAACTCATTGTCTTTAGTTGCTTGGGGTTAAGTTGAAGTCAAGTTGGTGGTGATTCGAAGAAGATTATGTTACAGATTTCAGAATATGGAATATGTCGCAGGCTCTTGAAGAACTGGTCGATGTGGTTGAAAATTTTTGGACAGTCATTTACGGAATGGCCTCCTTAAGTAAGTAAATTAAACAAGTATTGTCCAAAATCATCGTCATCGTTTCATAAACAGATTCGTACCTGGTTATTGTTCATGAATAGATTCGTAGATCGATGATAATAAACTTGTGCTTTTGAAGGTGATAGTTATATGTGTGACATCTTAGTAGGTCAGTTTACTTGATTACCTTAGGTACCTAGGTAGGTATTATATATCCATAAGTTGTCTGCGGGAGTTCAGATTGAGGGGCCTCGGTTTACCGCAATGTTCCTTTCTTCACGCGGAGAGATGTCTTGCGAGTCTTAAACTGGTGCGTCCCCCCCGCGGATCTAGCTGGAATCACGGGACCCTTGTCTTGAATATAATAGTAGCTCACTAAGTTTACGGGTAAAGGAAACCTTCAAAAGACGAAGTTACGAACTCTGATTAGTTATAAGCACTTCCTATTAGCTTGGTTGTCACGGAGAACAAATAGAATCTCACTTTATATTGGCATTTATAGAGAAGACAAGCCACCGAAGTTGTCATCAACTATGCCAAAAGTTGATACCACGACAGGAGTCAATTATATGTCTTGCCCAACTAAACTCCTTTGAGGTTCCTTTATGTTCTGATTGAATTAGGATCTGTGGTCTGAAACTTTCTTTCGTATTCCTTCTATCTTTTAGTTTTTATGGGATCTAGGATCTTGTATAAGTGGCGGTAGGGATACGAACTTACTAAATAACCAACAGGAGTTAAGAGAACGTGGTTCAGAGAGGCCTATATCGACTTAATGCTCTTTCTGAGTCTCGTAAACTCAATCGTAGATTTGCTTATAATGAGTGCTTCGAAGTAAAGCAAGTTGGATTGAGCACGCGGTTGCTAACTGGTTACTAGGTATCAACCCTATCCCCATGGTCCTATAAAGACGTGATAGTCACGTTAGAGAGCTAACTTGCAGAGTACAGTCCTAAATATATGAAATGCCAATCCTACAAGCTAAAAACACAGTGACCTGCCTCTACGATAGTTGCCTAGCATGTCTCATAAACTGAGCCCTATAGTCCTGGAAGATAGCCAATGTCAGATGGTAAGATAGGAGGACTTTCGGACCATTTAATCATTCTCTGGGCTGTCTAGCCGTGTTTCTCATTCAGTCATTGTAGAGACTAGGCACCTAACAACGATGCCTTTCTGGGATGTATTAAACTTAGACAAACTAAGCAAAATCACACTACAAGTAAATCTTCCAGAAGTTTCTCAAAAAAGCTTGATGTTGAAATGGGAAAAGGGATAGAGTAGTTAGATAATATATCTGTTATATAGATAGACGAATCTATTTGATCGTAGACACGTTGAGCTTTTTGATATCGGCCGAGATCGACTGAGGATAACCCGTGTATCATCAGGGGGAATAGAAGGCACGGAAACCACTTCTTTATTCTGTGAGGAGCTCTGACCTAAGCTATCGGAGCCTATGGCTATACATACTGAAAGTATCTTTTGTCCCAGATGTCTCATCTATTAAACGTGTTCTCGCAACCAGGCCTCCGGTCGAAATAAGCCGGCATTCTTCGTCCTATTAATACAATTTTTTTTTTTGATTAGCTCGAGGATTTAATAAACAACAAGCATGATCCGAAAGAATAGCGCGGCATCTAGACCCCGTCAAGCCTAGCAAATTACCCTATGAGAGCTTAATGACGCGATTGAATATTATGTGGAGTTTAGGGTTTCTAAACGATCCGAATCGAACTACGGGCTTGTAGTTGTGAACTTTAGACTCATCGAGTCTATTTATAAAACATGCCTTCTAGGGGGCAATACATTCAGTTCAATATATATTGTAGATAGCATAGACTGGTTGATAGGACCTCGAATACTTCTTCCAGCAGTATCTATACTGATTAACCCGATACTGTTTACGCGTTGGGTTCGCAGTGTTCCTACCGGTAACGATGGAGTAGTAGTACCGAGGCCGAGGCCGAGGCCGAGCCCGGTACTCCGGCAGGTCCGGCTAGCTATGGAACTAGCCGTGGTAGTTAAGACCGCTAGACCGCATTTGATCGACAATTCTGAGGAAAGGTTGTGTTTACACATCTAGATCTTATTAAGTTAGGTTTAAGTTAGGTAAGGTTCTGGAATCTTGGATGCCCTAACCTATGTAGTATGTGCCGTTGCGGTGAGACGCCACAAGCCTCGGCGCGGGAAGAAGCGCTCGCACGTTTGGTCCACGCCCTGTTTCTGTAACGGCTGCTTATGATTCATCTACGAAACACAACATATCTGATGGTAATCTCGGACGATAATCTTATCTACCAGCCAAGATTATCCATACCAAGCGGATACTGCTGGCCAGAGCGTGTTGCGGTGAGAGCCGCAACAGGCTGAACTATTTGAATTTCCATGTTATAGTGGGTGACGTGGACCAACCTTTGGCCAATACTGGTCTTGAGCCAAGGAAGATATGCTCGGAGAACGGTTTGGTGGCTGGCTGTTCGTCTCTTTGCATATCTTGTACATAGCTTCGATTGAGTATGTATTGGAAAGGTTGCCGATGCCGGCAAGCTCCAGATCCGAATCTACATACCTACTGCTAACCTAACCCTCTCCACACTTGTGATCCCTGGCAGCTCGGCAATCTCGCCGTAAAGTCTGGTCAAGTCTGGTATGTTGATCCAATTCGACAATGCGTGCTAATTCTTGCTTGCCTCGCTTTAAATCTAAAGCATAGGCACTTCAAGCGGTGTATTTCCTGGGTCGTGCCTAGGCAGCTATATGGCCGACGCGTTGCATGACTTGCAGTGGTAATGATGGAGATAATGATGGAGCAGTGATCCTTTCGGTAAATTTAAGGTACTTTCAAGTGAGGCCGAATATGAAGCGGTGAAATTTTTTGGCCGCATAACTTAGGCGCTCACCATGTATCCAATTTGTTAGATCCCAGCCCTCTGATTTTCCGTCAAGGGCTAGTCTTGATCACAAGGGACAATCGTCGGTGGGTTGTAGAAATCTTATCTACATTCATTGTTAGTGTGCCCTAACGATACGCTTAACTAGAGTATCGTGAGATATTATTCGGTCTAGAATCTAAGGAGCGCGTAGTAGTTAGGTGCGTCCGAGTCAGCTGGCCAATAATGCAAGAATAAAACGGTATTGACTCGAGTAACTATACAGACTGTGACAGTGAGCTATTAGCCCGGCCCAGTCCGTATAATTAGAAACGGTGCAATTTTATCATGGGAATTCAGACAAACTAGTATCTCGCGTGACCTTAAAGCTGGCCTTTACTACATGTTGACGACGGCTCTAGCGGTCTTGGATATTTTATTAGAAGAGGGGAAGTTCAGGGGACTAAACTTATTCAGCCTTATGCTTAGAACCCATACATAGCGTATGGGGATAGTTAATTCTTCTAGAATTGTTCCAGCCTGGAGGGCTAAACTCGGAGGGAACTATTAGGCCTTTATTCGCAAGAAGTAAATGGTGTTGCCAGACATAATTTTTCGCTTGGTAGATCCATTTAGTACCGGGTAGTAGAGATTGATGCTTAGTGGAAGCGGAAGAGACGTTCTACGTGGCGTGTCGTGTCGTGACAATCTGGAAAATGATATGGTGTCCAAAGGATCAGCAAAATCTCAAACAGCAAACCCCCATGAAAGCCTGCACTCACACGGTCTTCTAGCAAGCGGGGCATTGTCGATAGTTATTATATTTAGGTAAAATAATGGTCACGAGAAATTCCATAGTCTTGATGTGGGCGAGAGCGGAACTGGTAGAAGAACTTCCCGAGCTTCAATGAACCAATGAATACCCCCTAGAGATCGGGCGCAGTCGTGGGGAAGAGGAGGGGTTCTCCATCAAATAGGGAAAGTCGTATTGGCCACTACCACCAGGGTCCTTAAAGGACCCTTTAGACATTGGTACCTGGTAAATAAATTAATGGGCAATCTAATTTGGTTAGGGAGCAAACGCCTCCGGAATACTAAAGAGGACCCTGATTTCTAGTAGGTACGTAGATGAGGAAGCTATCAGCAAGACATCGCGTCAACGGGCGGGAGGTCCGGCAAAGGAGAAACACCCTAAGCGACAGACTCCATGAGGGAATAAACGTGTGGAGTTAGGAGCTGGGTAAGAAGCTGAACGCATGTCAACCGTTCTGCAAGTAAGAGTTGCTGTTGGGAAAGTTCTGATTGGAGGATTGACGTTGTTTCGCATCTTGGAGCTTCTATTCGAAGCTCTCGCGGGCCGTCCCCTTGTAGGCTGGTGGTAAATTGTTCATTGGCACGTTGGAGTAGTTGGTAGGTTGATCAGAATCGGCCGCGCTGGCGAAGGACGATTGGGCAGACTGACAAAACAACATTTGAATGCCAGCAACATATCTGAGGTACTTAAGGTATTCGAGGTAAAATACTGAGTGCGGCCTATGTAGGGTTGGGCACTTATCTTGCTAGGTGATCGGACTTTCACCTGGCTGGCTGAGGGTTGCCATTGTCCACTAGATGACGGCATAGCATATTAGGTAGCAGCCCCTCGGTAGTAGAGTACATAGTAAAATTCGATGTGATAGAAATTGAAATGTAATAGTTATCCATATATTGATAACTATTTGTACATACTATGTATTATGCATAAAGGAGGTGGGTGATCTACGCGTGCCACTCGACATGTCGAAAAGTAATAAGAGGCAATAGAGACAAATATTTGAGGAATATTAGATAGGAAAAAGATCTGAAGAGGATTGACGAGATTGGAATTGGGAATTGAGTGAGAGAAGATGAGAATAGAAATCTGGTTGGACGAAGAGAGTGGATAGTGGATAAAATTATCGACTAGGCTTAATCTAGGTGGCTGTGTGGAGAAGAAGCAAGGACGTGGCAGACGTTAAAAAGAGCCCTGCTGCCCTGAAGGTCTTACGGCCCCGCTGTCCCCACTGTGCCTGGCAGTGGACAGCCCTGGCGGGACTGGCAGATCCGCTCCGACAGGCCGGCCGTTTTCCATGTGCCCGTTGGAGATTGCTCTGGAAGTGCCACCGGTACCTATAGCCAAGTTATCCATCCAGCCATTTAGCGCAAAAAAGGGTTCTAAAGCAGGAACATGTACGTACCTTGTGTGCCTTGTGTGTGTAGCGGAAGGAGACAAGCATGCTCCCATTCAACTTAACCCCTCTGCCCCTGTAAGACCCGTATTAAATTAGTTCATCTTCCAAATCCCTCCATCATCGACGTACTTACAACTATTACCTACCTGGTACCTACTTCCCATCTCTTTGCGCCCCATCTTGCTTCCACCTTTTAACAATAACTCTCTCCCACAAACCCACACAGCCAGTCCTAACTAAACAAATGCAAATACCTATCACATGAGCAAGCCCGAGAAGCAAACAATCAAAAGAAATCCACAAATATCTAGATCCTCGTCTTGTGAAATACGAAATAGACGCTGGCCAAATCTTTCATATATCGCAATCAGGGAAATTTGTTGTACACGTAGACTGGGCAGACTGGGCTTACCTCGGCATATTATCCCACCAGCTTGCTAAACGTGCCATCTACAACGACCTATCGCGGCCTTATCGAAACGATCTCGAAACCACGAATCAGAGTTTAGATTCCCGTTACTGCATACTGCATCGGTTACTGCAGCATATAGACGAGCAAGACTCGAACTCGAGCAGCTGCCAGGTGGTCGCACATCACAGGTCCCCAGTTAAAGCATACTTGCCCTTCCCCTCGGGTTGGTTCAATTGAGGGTTTCGTACCCCTTGCCGATCAAGCTACCGTTGCTGTCGAATGAGGAGCTCGATGCTGGTTTATTTCCTAGCTTACAACTACGATCCATCTCCCTGCCGAGTTTCTGGAAATCTTGTCACGACTTAGGGAAACCTAGATATCGATATCGTAATCAATCGGGCCAATCTTTTGCGATACGCAATATCTACATAACGATATTTTCCTACTTCCTTCCTCTACGGCTCGCTTGCAACTGTCTTAACCATGCTCACTATGACAAGGTTACCGTCCGACTCCTTCCTGCCGTCGAGCGCTATGCTTGATCCAAATCCACGTTCCATGTCCTTCGCCTCTCATCTTAATGGTCACTCTTCAACATCAGTAATTTCTCCACTATCTCTACCGCGCGCATTGAATAATCTATCTTACTTGGACGAGTCAAACCTTTCAAACTTATCGCCTCCCGATCATACACATTCGCCATCAATTTCCGTAATTGCGCAGTCTCAGCAGCAGTATCTTTCTCCACGTCCAAGTTCCCCGAACGGTCATCGAATCGGGGCTGCTGTAGCATCTCCGTCTTTAGTACCTAGTACTACCTCCTCACTCAGCAATATGAGCAATCAAACTCTACTCAACCTGCTACAGCGCAGGGAAGAGCAGAATAGAAAATTGATTGAAAATTGGCGTGCCGAGCGTGCCCATTTGGAGGCTAGTCGCACTCGAGCTGAGGAAATGTATCAGGAAGAACGGGCGATAATTGATGAGGAACGAATGATCTGGATTGAGGAGAAGAGCAACCTCCAGAGAGATTTGTCTGAATGGAAAAAGAGGACAGAAGTAGCCGAAAAGCAGAGGGACGAGATGGCTAGCCTGCTTAGGAGCATGCAGACCCAAGGCAGTCAATCAAAGATATCGTTTGACGGTGCTGCTGAGCCTACTATGGGCTCTCTCAGAGGCGGTGGTCTTAGCAGCGCTGAGACCTATTCGCAGTCAAGTGTCAATTTTTGGAGCCCATCAGACGGCACATCTCCCATAAGAGTTTTGCCTGGTGAGCTTCACGTCAGCGAGTTTCACGGATCGACGACGATGCCAGAGTCGAGACCTTTCATTCCCTTGGATCCACGTATGCAGGGCTCGTCACCAGGAGTGAGTTCACCGGTGTCCCAGCAAGATCGTGTTCCCTCTATCGATATACAGGAGGTCATTCCCGGATTGGAAGGAATCCGAGTCAGGCCGGATATCGTCCAGAAGGCGACATTTACCGATGATAAGCCATCTGAATCATCTCCCGAGTCAATCTTGCTCCCTGTCCCTGGAGCTAAGCAGGAATCAATTCGTACACGTGTTGTGCCAGCTGATTTGACAAAAGAGACGCTCCAAGCTCCCGAGTCCGATAGACTTACCATGCATGCCGGGCACACACCGAACCATTCCATCTCCTTATCCAGGCTCCATACCGTTGAGTCTACTGAGGTAGTCAACACAGCTGGTAGTTCTGGTTCATCAACCCCCAAGTGTTGTGATGCGGAGGATAAGCAGGTTCAAGTGCCCGAGAAAGTCCCGAACTGTCAGACATCATGTTGCGGCCTTGGATGTCCTAAAGCTGCCGAGGCTCAGGACGAACTCGAGGATGAAAGAGACAAAGATCCGGAATTAAAGGGGCCATTAACCCTTCGCAACCTTCCAGCGGCTGACGAACCATTTCTCAAGGCTCTTAATGAAAAGCTTGCCGATGTTATCACTCACGATATGACCCCTACTGTTCTTAAGCATGGGAATTATTTTAGGCCAGCTGCATCTGAGCCAATTATCGAGACCGGTGATGATGATGCACACGATGCTCGTGAAAAATTAGAAGAGCAGGAGCAAGAGATCCCGCTAAAGTTAAAGCAATCGAGTAACTTTGGCGCACCTCTCGGGCAGCTTCGAAAGCCGGCATCGTAGTAGATGCGCTCCGGTAGTTATTGTTGCTAACGTGATGGGCGATCTCGTCTATAACTCACGTTCTTCGTACACAATACCGTCACCTTTGTCATATTTACTCGACGGAGATCTTTTTGCACAGCCAGTGAGGCTGCCTGTCTAGTTTTGAGCATACCCACAACGAGCTCTAAATTTCCTTTTTCCTATGACCTTTGAAATACCCCAATACCCATGATTATTTTCTCCTTTTTCTCTTCTGCGCATGGGAACTGATGGGTCGGCTTATGTTATGGTTGAAAGGCGACGAAATTGGCATTGAAAAGGTTGCATGAAGGGACGGGATTATCCCTGAATTCTACGGATCAGCGTTTTTTTTATTTTTTACTTGTGTGTTGGTGTGGTTTCTCTGCTTCAGGAAGCATATAGAAATATGGTGATCGGTCGGGTTTGATTGGCATTTGGGCTGAGAAGATAAAATCGTGGCAGACCGGATGTTGCACGTTGCACTTTGCACTTTAGACCTTTTATACCTTGGGCGGGGACCCCCTTGTCTTCAGCGAGAGAAGCGAAGAGAAATGGTGAAGAAAATAGGTACTTTAATGAAATAGGTCTGTTAATGAGCAGAGGCATGAGCAGAGGCAAGATTATACGTTTTAGGACCGGGCAACTGGTTTATTGAGTCTAATACAAATGTTAGCATTTTCTCGTGTATTTATCATGTATCTTCACTCCGTGCTTCAAAACTGCTAAGAACGATGTTCGTGTTACGTTTCTGGGCTAAGCTGAACTTTGGCCCGTATTGGCCGTCTGCTGTAGGTACCCTCAAATGCCGGCCCGCGATGTGTAGTACAATCTAGAGGAGCTACATGATCGGTATCGTATACGATTGACCGAATGAAATATCTCAAGTGGCGAGTAATCTCAGGGACAGAATAAGATTAGCTTCACACAAGATACTACGAAGACCCCTCGATGACGTTATTTCCGGCCGATGGTAATGATGCATTAGAATACTATATGAATTACGTGCTGAAGTATGTAGGTAGGTATGCAAAACTAGCCGTCTATCATGATGATCATTAATAACAGGTACCTAACATATTTTGCTTTGCTTCCCTGCTTTCGAGCGCGCCCTGAAATTCTAAATCGTCTGCCGCACCGTCAAACGCCAAACATGCCTCCCCGCCTGGGAACAAATTTCATTTTTATCGTAACATTTTCTCTTGTAATCTCGTGCCCCTCCTTTTGTACCGTACATTGGGAGTGTCATTACCGTCATTGCAATTGTATTTGAATGCATGTATAGGTACCTAAGGTAGATAGGTAGATTTGCTCAGCTCAGCTTCTTGCCCATGAACCCGGCTAGCTCGTCGAGCAGCTCGACGGTCTCGGCGGGACTCGCGATCCAGGCAGTGGTAGAAACGCTGCGGGCCTTGAAGTCATTGCTGCCGGCGCTGAGGAACTGATCGCCGACATGTAGCGTTTGTTCGGGGCGGATGCGCGTGCGTGCACCGTCGCCCCCGAACCACTGCTGACACACGGATACACCCCAGCTCTTATCGCCGATGTCGACGAAGACGTCCCGCCCGCCGTTGAACGCACAGAACGGCACTACTTTGTTGTCGAAGTCGCGCCCGCCTACGCTGAGCTCCAGGATCTTTTGGACTACTAGCACGGTTTCTTCGAGGGATTCACGTGGAATGCGCACTGTGGATGAGCTGGGGATTATGCCGACGGCGCGGTCTTTGCGCATTAGAGTCGCGGGCAGGTTTAGGGTCTTGATGCTGTCGCGCAGCGCGGCCTCGGCTACGTCTAGGAGAGCTGTGATGCCTGCGTCGGACCAGGATGCCATTTCTGCTGTTAGCCAGCGCTCCCGGGGCACGGGGGATAGCAGGTGAGGCGACGTGGGGCTGAACTCGAAGAGGTAGTTTGCTTCGCCGCCCATGATGATAATGTTTTGCCTCTGCTGCGGCGTTAGGACTGTGGAACTAGCAATGGCGTCCAGGAGCCCGTGCAGACGGGCATAGTACTGCTCGGCCATGGTATAGCCCGCAGCCGTGACGATGCCGATCTTGACGTTCTTACGCATGAGATCGATCATGCGCGGGATCACCGGGCTAGTAGGCTCCAAGCTCTCGCCATCATCATACAACGTGACGTCTCCGTCGAAAGTAGCGAGTTGGAGGGTGCTTTGGGTAGTTACGGCCATGAGTTGGGCCGTATTGAGGACGAGGCGCACATCGTTGAAGGAGGGGGAGACGAAGCGGCGAGACGAAATATATCGCTTGCGGTCCTGGAACTTGAAGGCGGCCTCGAGAGGCAGCCGGGTAAAGAAGTTGCCTATGGTCGGGACGAGGAGCTTGAGCTTAGACGGGACCCTGCTCGCGTTTAATTGGTGCGTTACTGAGCAATATACGTCAATGACTGGATTGGAGTTTGGTTCCGGGGGCGGGGAAGGCGAGCGTGAGTGGACGTACTGTGATCATCAATCATCACCTCGACGTCCCTCATGATCTCGGCATAACGCCTGTGCGCCTCTTCGGACATATGTGTCACGTTGAACCCATTGGCTTCAAAAACACCTGTGGGCTGGGAGTATAATACGAAGGGAACCGCCAATAGCCCCTTGATCCATTCTAAACATATGTAGGTTAGCTATCATGAAGTGAACGAGATGCCGGTTGGAGATTTGTCTGGGGATTTTGTGAGAGTAAATCCATCGTTAGCATGTTGGTGGTCTTGGGGATATCCGATATTCGGAAACCCACTTCTAACGATGATGGTAAAATAGTGAAGGATATGTGAGAACTACAACACGCTGGGTTATAATACCTATAAACTGATCTCGTCTGTGCGTCTTCAACGCATCTATAGAAGCGCCCGTGTTAGTTATTGATCGGGTGCTTATGGCGGAGGAGATAGTCCGTGAAACTTGAACTCACACTCGACCCTATATCTTGAAGTCATTATGCTTAAATTTACAATTGACTTCTGCTATGGAGGCGGTTAAATAATTATCAGTAAAGAAGGCTAAAAGAACAGCGACGAGAAAGGTAAATATGGAAAGGGATGAAGTGAAATAAAACGGTGTAAGTAAAGGGGTTACATACGTAGAATCGTTGATCACGAGGTTCCGATTGACTGGAGTGCCGGCATGCGTTTGTGGGGCGCCGATGCAGCGGGACATCAGGACATCCAACGCGCTGGGAGAGGCTGGCTGGGCTGGAAGGGCTAGTAAGCCACAGTGGTACAGGCGCTACCTGGAACTCATCCGTCATAGCGTCATTTTGGTGGCCGATTAGCGCATGAAGTCTGGGCCATTTGAGGCTGGTACTTAAGGGTATCTATCGAATGTCCTGAGCTTTAAAGTTTCTAACCTACTACTTTGTTTTAATCACGAAAACAACATCATCAGAAGTAAATCGAATTGGTACCTATGTTTATAACATTAAACTGTTGGAACATAAGATGACTATGGAATTGATTGTTTCATTTCAACAAACTATCTCAGACAGACATAAAACATGCCCCATAAAACCTTCACATGTCTATTCGAAGCATTGAACATGCCATAGGATAGGTACATGTTTTGAAAAGAAGTCCCCTCTCTGGTTTGGACCAATCCGATTTTCTTACAACTTCAACGCATTTTAACCAACCCGTACCTCCCTTACATCTCCCCGGACATTTCCTATGTCACTGGTCTAAGGCGCCGGAGTTTGAGTAGCACAGGCAGCCGTGACTGTCCTCATCCGAGTCATGCAGCCTTCGGGGCAAGCAGTCTGACAGCCGTCAACAAAGAGAGCGGTCTTGACTCCAGCACAGCCGCATGGGACGAGCAGCTCTTTTTGGAACGTGCAGCCGGGTACTGGGCACAGCATCGGATCACAGTTGCTGGGTCGGGTCGTGTGTGTTACCGTCGGGCAAACGGCGGGGGCAATCGTGGTAGGCTGGCTAGGGAGTGTAGTGATGCTGATGATGAATGACGTTGTCGTCGAAGAGCTTAAGGAGCTGATGGTCGGCGTGGGCGAGTATGGTGGGCGATGAGTTTCAGGAGCCTCAACATTGGGGTTGACAATGGCCTCCGCCGGGGCAGCGCTAACAATACCGACGACACTATACTCTCATTAGTATGATGAAACTTAAGATCAAGCGTTGATGGGAAACTAATTGGTGTCTTACCTGGCTAGCGCCGCGACAAAACCGACGAGTACCTTCATTTTCGAGTTGTTTTGTTTCGACTATTTCCCCTATCAGTTAACGTTATTGAGTTTGTTATACTACAAGTAAGATATTACTGACAATATTCGATGCAGTTGTACTGAATCTTATAATCGTTGGCTTTCGTTGATGGAGAATAAACTGACGATGGATAGACTTATATGATCAACTAAATCACGGACAAGCTGTCTCTTATATACGCGCATCTTTGACGTATCGCTATACTCTACCCCGATCGATTTAAATAGCATTAGACCTGCATGGCTCGGGACCTCACGACTGTCACCCGTTCAAGCAGTCACTCCGGGTGAGATGCCATTTTTCACGTTCTTTCCATCCTTCCGGAACGTGTCGTATTCTCTTACTGCGCTAGTGGCTGCATACGACAAGACGACGGTTTCCGAGGTGCAGCGTCGGGCATCGGTTTCACGGTACGGTTATATTACAGAGTAACTCAGGTCTTCACGTTGTAAAGGTGGCGAGTTATTTTTAGCATAACCTTACTTTATATTAAAGCCTAGGTCCGGAGCCTTACCCATGCTACAACATACTTGAGGGTTGTCAGGAGTGCTAATCGCATCGCGAGCACCGGGAGGGTGATACAAGTTCGAAGAGTCAGGCATCAGAACATCGATACCAAATAGAGCCACGCTCAAAACTTGATTTTATAAAGGAAACACGAGACTCATAGAATTCAAAACTATGTAGTTTCGGTGGTATGATACTTTTGTCTACCAGTTTATCGTGTCACAAGCACCCTTCTGCGTATCGCGGGAAGACCGAAGAAAATCGGACATCCTGATATCAAACCCTCCGCGAGCAACGCGAAAATCAAGAGAAAAACCACCTTCCTCTTCAAGTCTCTTCCGAGGAGCGTATTTCGATAAAAGGTTGCTGGATATAGTTGGAATTCTCGATTATCGGCGAATCGACGGCATCTAGTTCCCCTGAAATTACGAGTTCTAGGCTTGGGGTTCTTAGGGAGCGTATATTACCATGGGCGAAGTACGATACGATGCCGTCAGCGAACTCGACAACCCAAGGACATTCTAATCTACGATTTGAATGGTCTAGCCAGGTTATTTACTTTATGATTGGCAGCAGTTGTCCAAGCCGGTCTTTGCTAGCCCCATAAAAACTGACGAGGCCATTCAGCCTCTTTAGCCTGGATTACGGGACAATATCCGATGGCAGAAGACTTCATATAACTTCATCTCCCAGGCTCAAAATTCGCCTATTCGGGCTACGTACTCGACATGTCAATATATCTTTGATGAAAATGAGGCCCTCGTAATGAGATCCCGCATGATCCGTCTCGCGAAAGCTGCGAGATAACGACACGGCCAAGACCGCTTCTTGACATTGTAATGCCGCATGTCATGAGTACGATCTAGCCTGCAGCTTACGCGGATTCAGCGAGTTCCCCTTGGAGATTGAGAAGTCGGATGATTTTCGTCTGATTGCTCGGGCGTTTGATCCAAAACCTTGGACTATCTCGCCCAGCGAGTGCGGATTTTGCCTGTTTACTGACGATTTTTTGCCTAGGCCGCTTATCTAAGAGAACCAGTATCCTAGTCTCACAGATATTTGAAGACGATCACCTCCTTGCTCGCCAAAAGTACGATGCAGCTTTCCTAGGTATCCCCGACTCGACCAAATAGCGAGCAGGATGGCTGCTTAAGATTTCCCTGGGGATTTTGGGTAGACACATAGCCAGTATTCCGGCGATAAGAAGTCGTCTCGGCCTCTTCGATAAATAGCCGGCCCCTGCTGCTTTCTCATCCCCGAACTCTGTGACTACCTAAATCAGACAACTTTGGCTTTTGACGAAGACCGCATATTCGACGTTCACTGAACTTATTTGCATTTCTGATTAGCCCCCCTCTGAATCTGATCGTCGGATCTATTCGGATCATTCAACGATTTACATCTGATAGCTTGACTTGTATGCATATTCGTCACACTTCGTGGTCTAAGTTTTACTGGTCTTTCATTAAATGGACGGACTATATATTGTTCTTACAAGCCTCGGTATACTTGTATGGCTACCTGCTTGGGCGAGTAAAATTGTTAAATGGAGCGAGAAATATTTCGCTTTACAAAATCAATAGATGATCATAGAGGCAATGTCGTGGATACTGCGCACGATCGTTTCTGTCTTTTTGTCGCGTAATATGTATATCCTCATCCAACCCCGTTATAATAAAGGTCAAGAATATACTACTTCATACGCCATAACTCACTGTACTCTCGACGATATGTATTTCTCTAAACTGATTTCGGTATGCTACAAGAAGAAAGCCCTCGAGGCTCTTAGTCAAACTGGGCCCAGCTGGGAATATCATCGTCTATGAGGTATGAGTACCGTAGAGGTAGATATCAATGAATAAGGATTTAGAAAGAGCAAGCTTAAGATAATTGCACTATAGTTTAAGCCCAAGCATCTTGCCATTAGACCACTTTAGATGCTAGTTACGACGTAAGTCTCGTTCAAGTGCACATGGATTCAATAGTCTTCGGCAGCCGGTGATCAACTATCAAACCCATTTAATACCGAAAATTATTATGCGATATCATAGGCAACGCAGTTCGATTGATTTTCTATACTAATAGCGTACATTGAAGTCGCCATGCTATATGGACCTGATGAGTACCCAAGGTACTGTTATTATTACGAATTTGCAAATGCAACGCAGTCTCGCGTAAATACGAGTATGATTCCATTATAAAGCTCCTAGACGCTCGACTTCAAGGGATGCAAGAATGTAGGCCGCGGATCCGAGCACACTGTTGTAGTTGATGGGCTGTCCGATATAGTACTATTAAAACGTTAGTTTCTCGTATCATATCAAGGGTCGCAGATGGATACCACTAACCTCGTAAGTTGCCGTCGAGTTCAAACTACACACCGATACTGTTCCGTTATATCCGAGCGTGCCGTTCGTCTCCTGAACCACAAACGTGCCTGTCAGGTACCCGTGACCGCGAATAGCAGCAGCCACCGCCGTCGATGATAGAGTGGCGTTCGAGGCGAAGTATCCTAGTCGTGTGCCCTTGAGTAGCGCGTACGCGAACATGGCGCTGCCGCTAGACTCGATGTAGTTGCCTTCGCGTCCCGGCTCGTCGAGGAGCTGCCACCATCCACCAGTCGCTGGATCGACCGCACTCACAATCGCACTGGCAAGCGAGTTGAACTTCTCGACGATGAGATCTCGGTACTCGCGCGCGGACTCCGGCAGCACTTCTAGCGTATCCACCAACGCCATCGAGTACCACCCCAGACTCCGGCCCCAGACGTGCGGGCTCGCACCCGTGTCGGGGTTCGCCCACACGACCGTGCGCGAAGCATCGTAGCCGTGGGCCAGGAGTCCCGTCGAGTCGTTACGGGTGTGGTTCCAGAGCAAGTCCAGCTGGAAGTACGTGTCGTCAACCGCGGCAAGCGTCGCGTTCTCCCGCTCGGGACACGGGTTTGCGGTCTCGGCCGCCACGTGGTATCCCACGTAGAAAGGCGCGAGCGAGTACATGCCGTCGAGGTAGCTCCATTGGGGATAGGTAAAGTACCAGAGCCCGCCCTCGGGGTTACGGCGGTTTTGGTCGATGCTCTGGCGCAGGGCGTCGGCGGCGGTGCCGAAGGAGCCTGGTCCCGCTGTCTGGTTAGTTGTCGGGGCTGCTAGGGCTAGGAGGGCGTGTCCGTTGGAGAGGCGGTCCAGAGGGTACGATAGGGCGTCGTGGGTGGCGTTTTGGACGAATGGGGATACGGACGAGGCGCTGGATAAGATGTACGCTTGCACGTCGGCGGTGAAGGCGTCGTCGGGGTATTGTGCTGCGAGCGCGGTGAAGGCTCGTTGTGTGATACCGGCTTGGAGAAGCTCGGAGGAGCCGCCTTTGCCGGTCATGATGCCCTGGCTGCGGGACATGATGCTGGATGCCATCCATGTCGAGTTCTTGCTCTGAGCTGCCTCCGTAACTTCTCCCGCTGCGGTATTGATAGATAAGGCGAGGGCGAACGTCGCCGCCGCGAAGTTAGATTGTGTTGACACCCGCATCGTGATCCGTCTAAATTTCTTTCTCCTAATACTATTTTCTCCAAATCCACCAAGTGCCGTATTCTCATTCCTAGGCGACCGCGACACAGACCTCGGGAATGTTCAACCGGGCCAAACGAATATGTGTGTGTGCGTGTGTGTGCGTGTGTGTGTGACGGAAGTAGGTGAGAAGAAGAAAAGCGGTGGAGGAGGAAAGAGTTTCGTCTCAACTCTTTGTATTACGAAGTGAAGTGAGGTGAGGCAGTTACGACAAAGGATGCAATTACCTAAATTAGGTAGTTTTTGATTGCCCCCTGCCGGAACGGCGACCCGGTTACCGGTGCTTGGGAAATTAGCGAGCGGCGCAAGCAACGCGTTTACGTGCGGTAACGGGTACCGAGTCCACGGATTGGAGGTTTTGCGGGATGCAAGGACGGCAAGGATCTGTACAAAAACATCCCGCCTTGATGCACACTGTACTTGAGTACCGAATATTATTTGCTATTTACGTTTTGTATATTTACATGATAGTAATTCCAACAATGCAATAAACATGAAGCAACGCATATGAAAATATATCGAACTCGCATATATCTACCTACCTAGGAAACACTCGTGCGTATTTCCTAGGAGAGATGTGGATTAAGCTGCTGGGGTATTATTTATTTGCTGTGCCTCTTCTGTGTAAGCCCTATATATTCTTTGTTGTCATGCCAAACCCCCTATATAATGCCGAGTGGCTTTAAGTAGATTGAGACAAACGACGCCTTTTATTAATGTCTAGTCTGTGAAGGTCCCCAGCGGAAGACCGATCACATTGATTTTGTCCCTTCATGCAAGACACGAAGGGATCGTTTAGATGGGGTAGTATTTAGAAGCTTTCCATGCAGTCGAAGTATCATTACCCCTCACTACGTACAATGTAGACAATCAAACGGGCTGACGAGTAAGACGGGTTGACATCATATCACAAATCGAGTGTTTGCAAAGAAGAGATCGAAAGACGGGTCTTCCAATATAGATTGACCTCAACAACTCGAAAACCGACAGAAGCAAAAGACCCAATTCATCACATTTATCTCGTGTTATATATAACACGGGATAGGAATTTGCTTTGGTTCCGCCAAGCTTAGGCGGTGCAGTGATTCCACATTGTTTCCCTGTCCTACTCTACTATCTCATCACAACTACCTACCTTCTCTCTAAGCCAAATAGTCGACCGACTACACGCCCGACCATAGAGAATATCCGTAAACAATACTACGAGTGATTTACCATTCCGCGGTACTCTACGTCTGTGGCTGCAGCAAGAGGGATTATTAACATACTTCAATTGCTCAGCAGGAGAAGGCAATACTTAAAGCAGAGACAAATGTCACCTTGGCGCACATTAAATAGATGAGGTGCAGAAGACAGCGTTGCACTGCGCATTCAGCTCTCGCCTGTCTGCTCTTCTCTCGCACCATTGCCAGCACACGGCACACTCGGTTCCGCTGCCGCTAGCAACCGGCCTGTGCCGATCGTGTCGATGATAGGTAGCTGACATGGGGCCTCGGTCACAAAGCTGACAAGGCTGTATGTATGTATGTTTCTCCCGCAACACGGGCTATCATGTGTGTCTCGTGAGACAGTCCACGCCATTCGCCCGAGTAGCAGAAGGCTTAGTTGCCTGTGTTTTACCTGAGGTATGGTTACCTACGCTCTGGAGTACTGGCGTTTCCCCTGGGGTAGGTATTTAGAAATACAATGGCTTGAATAATGGCCAATTACACCCCTTCCCGTCGATGTCTTCTCAGCTTCTTCGCTTTGACCTTCCGGCCATATAACAAGCTGCACATTGCCCATCTCCTGAGTACGGCGCTTGATACGCTCCCCCACGTATTCTGTTCTAGACTTGTTCTCATGGCGCGGATCCCGTTCTACGCCGTCCAAGTACCCGGAGCTTAGGTCACTAGTTTACAGAGCCGCTAGTTTTAACCCGGCAATATGGGGCATCGGGATGACCTGATCGCGGCTATGGCCGTCTTCTTGGTGGTTGATACCCTTGCCATAGCCGCCCGCCTCTATGTCCGAACGAAGATGCTGACTCGTGGTTTCGGCTTGGACGACGTCGTTCTCATCCTGACATATGTAACTCTACCTACGATTCTTATCTTAGACGTGTACGGGCTTCGTACTAATACCACTATGATCTCTAGATCGGCTTTATTATCTCCTGTGCTATGGGCTTTACGTCTATGCATTATGGCTATGCTGCTCGAGACGAGCAGACGTACTACAGCAAGGCCAAATACACGAAGGTAGATGATACATTTTATATACTCTATCCCGAGTCAATTGTTTATACCTAAATATAATCAACTCAAGGACTAATATAATTACATATTTAGTTCCTATTCGCCAACCAGTTGACGCTCTACATCAGTGCCGGGCTCGTCAAAATAGCTGTGGCGCTCGTTCTCTATCGTCTATCATCGACTAAGAAGCTACGCTGGCTCCTAATAGGGTCGATGGCTGTCGTCACTGCCTGGACCATAGTGATGACACTGTTCGCGTCGTGGCCATGTGCCCAAGGTGGCGCGTCCAACTGGGCTGGCAGCAAAGCTTGCACGCAAGTCGGTTACTTCCGCACCATCACCAATATCTTTATCGACTACTTCTATGCGCTGCTGCCGATATACATACTTAGAAAGGTAAAGATGAGCACGAAGTTAAAAGTATCAGTACTGCTACTGCTGGGGTTAGGTGCATTGTATGTTACCCCTTTCCCTTCTCTAGCACTTATAAGTCATGAGACACAACTAGGCAGAGTATACTGGCAAGCCTATACTCACCATTCTTATAGCGCAAGCTCCGCCACCATTGTCAAACTCGTCATCATCGTCAGGTTATCAACCGCCAAGGGCGAGGAAGCCCAAGCTCTACACTACGACTTACTTCTCTGGGCCGATATCGAACTCGGAATGGCTACGTTCGCGGCGTCTGCGGCAGCTCTGCGACCTCTACTCAAGCACATCCCAAATATCTGGAGTAGAAGCCAGACATCGAATAGTCGTAGCCGTACTACAAGCGAGGCAGTCGGTCCCTACCGGGAGCTCGGTGCTAGTAACGAGCTGCACCCGGTGAGAAAGCATGATGCTAGAATAACAAATGGGAAAGACTCCGAGGAGGATGTATTTGTAGTTTGAAGGAGGGGATCTGATACGGGGTATAGAAAACGATGCTTATGATACCCATGATTTTCCGATCTTATTAGGCCTAAGATCGGGTTGTATATGACATTAGTTGCCAGCTGATCATGTATTAATAATATGTATTAATACCACCTACCTATAGACAACCGCGATACGCATGTGTACCTACCTAAGGTATGTTTACCCTTCAAACCAACTTCTGGAGATCTTTATCAAAGGGACGAATTCGAGTGTTAATAGGATATAGGAATATGCTCAAATACGCTGTTAAGCGATTGTATGTATAGCCGGTTAAATTGACAATGAACTGGTTATAGATCAAATAGCTCCGATATCTTGATATATCAACCGTAGCAAATGCCACGGAACTCGTGGTATCATTATCTAAATAAGATGAACCAGTGCGGTGCCTACCAAATAGCTCGAGATTTATCTCATAATCTAATAGCAACCCAATGGCTATGAACCAAAAAAACAGGAACGCCATCTCGGCTCCCTACTCATTAACACCCACCCTCGCCCCAATACCACCACAATATCAGTACATAAGAATCTCACGGGTCATATCTATCTATCGCCACCGATATCACGTCGACAAGCCTTATCAGCGAAAACATCGTCGCCATCGTGACGAGCACCAGCATTAACACCCCTCTCTCCAACAGCCGGCCGCTCTGCAGGCGCTCGCATGGGATACGGACTAATCCGCCTAACAACCGGGAACCTAGATCCAGACCTAGATATACGCCGGGGCGGCGTATACGTGTGCGTATGCGACACAAACCGCGGAACACGCCTCTCGCGCAAAGTACTCCGCGTCCGCGGCGGCGTCACGCGTCGGGACGCAGTGGTTTTTCGGCCCGACAGCCGCGGCGACCTATACGAGGTAGTAGTAGTATACATACCCGGCACAGACCGCGGGGGCTCCCGGTGCGTAAAAGCGTGGCGGCGCAGGGATTCCCGACTCCGACTCCGTCTGCTCGGCGGGGTTTTGGCAGGAGATCTTAGGGCGGAGTCGTTAGCGTGGCCCTGGATGTTAAGACGCTTGATCCGTGGTCTCAGGGCGTCTACGGCTGGGGAAGAAGAAGAAGAAGCGCGGCTTGTTTTCGTGGGCGTGCGGGGTGGAGGGGAAGGGGCGTGGAATTGGTATGCGACGCGTACGGGGGGGAATGGGGTACTGGAGGATGGGGGATGGTGCGGAGGGAGGTGGAAGTCTATAGAAATGGTATTGAGAACACGAGGACTGGTCGGAGGTGACGTGGAAGGGCTCCGGGGTCTCTTTGGGGCTGTGACGGTTCCTTCTCCTTGCTCCCCTGGACATAAAGTAGAAACCTGAATGGTAAAACTACTATGGCTATGGCAGACTGCTTTAGTCGATCGCGAGGGGGTTGATAGGATAGACGACAGGGTTCGTTGGCGCTTTGCTGCCTTCTGAAGTGTAGTTGAGGTTTCCTCAGCCGGCTTCTTCGGGTGTATCGTAAGATTCGTAATGATAGACGACTCGCCGGGCTTGTTGTCATTGATATTTGGTTGAGAAGGAGCAGCAGCGACAGATGCAGCAGCAGCATTGTCAACCTTTAAGGTCTCTTGGGCTGCGGTAGCAACTTTCATCACGGGCTCACTTTGAGGTTCTGTAGTTAACCCATTACTAGAGTCTTCCATCGCCATACTAGGCTGGAGAGCTGTTGTGCTAGGATGATGATGAGACCCATCAACTGGGTCTGCATCTAGCTTAGACATGGCGGCCATGCTGACTGGTGAGTTAGGTTGAGAAGCCATGGTATATCACTGGTGACTGTGCGAAGATAAACCAGACTATAGTGGCCGGAAGTTTTTAAGGAGTTCTCGAGGTTATATGATGTAAGTAGGATATATGTTAAGAGAGAAGAAGTGGAAGAGTAAAGCGCCTTCTAGCACTTGAGAGGACAAGATTTAAATAGAGGGACGGTTGCCTTAGCATCGTAGTACCTTGAAGATGCTCTATGCAACGACGCATAAAGCTATAGATTGTTTACTAGATGCAGGTTGTTTCTATATACGTGCCTGGTTTCTGAGATATACTGGTCCATCGTGGAGATTCGCCCTGACAACTTGGGTGGCGAATCACTAAGGAGTCAAAGCGTCTTTCTTCTAGGACTAAGAGTCGGTTACGTACCTTATATATCCAGTTAGCTATAGACCAAGGCGGATAGAGAATGACCATAAAGATGCATCCATCCCAAGGGCCAAGTATGGCATATCATTACACCTCTTAATCATCAGTACCCATAGCTTCAACAGTTCGTTAGGGTAATCATTAACATTATCATCCGTAACTACATCATGGACTGTATACATGCTAACTGTCCTAGCATCAAAGCAAGCAGGAATCATAAATGATGCCAACGACAAGACACTACAGAAGGACATTCATCCAAAATCTCAACTCATTTAATCATAAAAGCCTAACATCTCTCCAACGATACTCTTGAATATGCCCTTGGGATCGAACTTCTCACGTACGGCTTTGAATCTCTTTAGGTGATCTGGATCCAGATTCTGCGTGGCGTTACCAAACACCTCGCGCGTGTTCTTTGTCCAATGAGGCCTGGCCGGGAACTCATCGATGAGAGCCTTGGCCAACTTAGGGTCTACAGTAATCCCCTGTTAGTCATCTAAAGTCCCCTTTGAAGATGAATGATAGATGGGACACGCAGAATTAAAGTTACTCACAGAATTCTTCGTTGAAACGCTTTCCATCGCCGACGGTGGGCTTGAACGACGGGAAATCGAACATGATAGCGCCCTTGGTCCAGTCGGCCCCATCGGACGTGTTGTACGTGACCTGGCCTAACAAATCGTAATAAGGTCTAAATCATTAATTAGTAGGCATTTGCAGAACTGCCTGGTGGAATATACATACTTCCCGAATTTGATATTGATGCCACTACGGTAAGTGCTCGTCATGATAATACCCTTCTTAGCCTCGTCGTCAAATGCTTGTCGTACGCGCTTAAGCATCTTATTGGCCAGTGTGATGGGGAACGCTAACTCGAGAGTAGAGCCGTGCAGGCCATACTCCCACTCGGGTTTCTGATCCGGATAGAGACCGCCAATTAGGACGTCGTAGTTCCAGCCGTAGACGGGCCATTCCGTGATCGTCTTCTGAGTTGTTTTCTCGCGGAAGTTGGGAGCGGACCAAAGACCGAACGCAGTGGTCTCAAAGAACATGTTTGAGGTTGCCAGATACTTCCCGCTCTCTAAAGTGGATTTCGCGACAAAGGCCTCGGTGTCGGTGAGGGAGAAGGTATTCTGGAATCCCTCCTGGGTGCTAAGAGTGAGTGGGACCTTGTCATAGTATCGCCAATGGAACTTCTTCATGTACGGCCACCACTACGAAGCGTTAGAATAATGTATCGTACACGGGGAAAGGGGTATATCGGTGTACCCAAAAATTGGCCGTAGCATAAGGAGCGATCAAACCGTAAATATCGCCATTTAGTACGTCATCTTCATCCAGACTAATTTTCTCATTAGAATAAGAACGAACGTTATGGAAAGAGGTATAAGGCTTACGTCTCTTGCTTCGCAAAGACTTTAAAGTCCGGGTAGATCTTGAACTTCATGCGAACGATGACTCCCAATAGGCCTAAAGATGTCGAAGCAGCAAGCCAGTCGTCATTAGTCTCGTCGCGCTCAACTGTTACAATATCTCCGTTCCCATTGACAATATCTAGTGACAGCACGCCGGCCGCGACCATTGAATCCTCTCGGACAGCAGACCGATGTCCGCCCATCGCTACCGCACCGGCCATGGTGATATTCCAATTAACCAACGTATACCCCATAGAAGCACTGTTGTTGTGGAGATATTCGGCCAGCTGGAGGAACGTCACACCAGCCTCTATATCCACCGTCCCGGTCTCGGCACCCTCCTCGAGTACTAGATTTGAGATCTTGTTCACGTTTTCCGTGCGGATGATAATCGTGTCCGGGTTGTCTGAACACATTGTATTGTACCTTTGCAACATCTCAAATCAGAATTGACTTGCTATGGGTCCTCCTAGAAGCATCGAACAGACACAATGGCCCTATGGAGCATAGAACGGGAATGGAAACGGATATATTATTGGATAAAGCATGCCAACAAAGGTGTACCGCAAATTTGGGTCCTAACTCACCACATGTGGCCCTTCCCTGATGCCCTTACAGGCGTTCCATAGGCAGAAGCGTTCTTCACTATCTGGACGATATCATCGACACTGGTGGCATTGTGGACGAGGGCGACATCGTTGCAAGCGGGAAAGCCTTCGCCGTCAAATGTGTTATACGGGATAGCTGAGACGCTACCAGCGCCCACAATGGCGAGGATAGAGATGAGGACACGATTATAAGTCGGCATTTTGGGACAGCCGCGCTGTTATGCCCATATAATCCTTGGTAGCGGCGGGAACAAGCTCAAGCTTAATAACTAAGCGCTCAAGTTCCTAGTAGCCTAGTTGAGGGACTACTCAAGCAGAAAGGCCGCCTGAGTACCTAGGTAGCACCTGCGGAAACCCCGAGCTTTGTATTCATCAAGGGAAGCCCCAATAGGAAGTCCATGACATCCTTCACTCGACTCTGATTTCCTTGTGATCAACGCAACTTCCCTTTCCCTTTCCCTTTCCCTTTCCCTTTCCCTTTCCCTCCAACCCCAACCTCACCTCCAAGTTTCTCCATCCTCAACCTCGTGGGTACCGGGGTTCCCTGGCCTAAAATTTTCAAAGTCCACATATCAGATCAAAGGAACAGCCTCGCATCACCTACGTGCGACAGGGCTACACCTATCCCCTCGCTGGTGGTATGCCTCGGACGTGACGTGCATACCGGCAGTAAGAGCGCCCGTGATACGATCGACACGGACGCCGCACCAGACACGGGGCACTTACCTAGCGCGGCGTTCGAGCGATGAGGTCTCGGCGAGATATTTAGCGACGACGCTAGGGGTTCCTCCACCAGCAATGAGCGTGTTGGTTTGGTTGGGCGAACAGAAGAGTCGGATAACCTTAAAACGGCTCCCTGGGTTATAGCAGACAGGGCCGTCCTGCGGCGATGTAACACCCCGCCAATTACGACAAGCAGTGACATAACAGCAAGTTGTAATCGCAGGGGGTACCGTCTGGGGTAGCATTCGCATTCCGCCTTGTGTCGATCATTAGGAGACGACGCATGTAGATGTACAGGCGTGACAGAACGCTAGCTGAGTGCGCTGTTGCACGAAGACATACATATTGCGCGGAAGGGTGTCTGGCCGGCGGCAGCATCTCGAAAGCAGGACGAAAATATATGTTTTGTGGCTTTGGCTTGTGATAATGCCCGTGGCTGCCATCCAATTCCGTCCCGGTAGACTGATAGAATGATAGGAATGGTGAATACCTTTAGTCGGGGTGAGTTTAGGTTGAGGAGATACGCTAATGATTGGGGAACCCGGTAATTCGTCTAATCTCAAAGAAGAAACCATAGCATTAGATTAAAAGATGAGGACTAACGCAACATCAATCCCTGAACTCCGTAATAAGGGGTTGTTCTGCTATATAGTAATAGATATAGCGCAGGGGGCTAGGGTTGAGGATTGACCTGCCGAGCAAGGTAAACGAGTATCCACACAAAATACCGAGGACACCACCCTTAGCTATCGTTATACTGTCGGCGGCGAGGAAGATTAATGAGAAGTAGATTCAATGGTCATCTTACCTTATGGGGCTGTCAATAATGGCTGCGACTTGTATCCCAGACTGTTCTGGTCCCTGATAGGAACGATACCGTAGTCTCGTGCGATCGAAAGGAGAAATGCTGAATGTAAAATCTTTTCATAGAATATGGGTATCGCTATAGACGGCATTTCTGCTGAACCTATATTAACTCCCACCTTGCAAGCCAGCCGACATTCTGACCTGCGTTCCTGACAATGCAGAGCCTCGCGGCAGTGTCCTTCTGATTCTTATATCGCCGCAGCTCCTCTAGAGCCTTCGTAGACGACAAGCTACCTATAGCGTCGCCTATTCCGTCCCTGAGGTTAAAACTTCCAGTTGTTACAAACCCAATCAAATCATCTTCATTGGGACATAGTGGATGGCCGTTTATGCTCTCAAAGTTGGGAGCGGGCGGCGGGAATGTCGCTGGAGGGCCGATGAGTTGTTGAGCGAGCAGTTGCTGCCGCGTCTCTAAATCCAGATTTGCCCTGGTGATGACTTTCTTGGGCCTGTTATTTCCGGATGGCTTTTGCGCTAACCATTGGTTACGTATGTTGGGTGGTAGTCTACCCTCAGCCTTAGTATAAGGAGGGTCGGTAGCTGGTACTTCGGCCTGCGAAGAGACGGTCGTAGGCTTCACATCAGGTAGCCGATAGATCCTGGCACACGTGGTGGCCACTCCACGCGCCAACATCTTAATGTTTGCCGTTACCAATGACTTTGGAGGAGGCAGCTCAGATGTTGATGACTGGTAAGCAACAAATGCAGATTTGGAAAGTTGCGTGACGCTTTCTAAGGGATTTACGAGTGCTGCTTGGTTCTCATCTTGAGAAGTTGCTTCTGGCTCTTCTGCTCCATCTTTTTTATCTATTGCCATCTCGTCAGGGTCATCCACCTTGTCACCTCCCCTCTTGATACCGAGAAGTAGTTCGTAGTCGCAATTCCACCCTACTCCAACCTCGCCTTTCCGCCCTGCTCCTAGGTCAAGTGATTCCCAGTTGACTCTCTTTCCTTTAGGCATGCGGTCCCATGCCTTGTGTCTCGCTTTTCGTTCTTCTAATTCCCAAGCTTTGCCTGCCTCTGTGCCGGGCAAGTCACCAGGGAACCAAGGAAGGCCTCTCTCGAATGTAACATGTCTAATCTCCTTCAAACCTCCAAACCAAGGGTTGCCACCAGTCGACAAGGGGTAATGCATCAGACTGTACCATATCGGAAGAACACATTTGTATGGTAGCATTAACGTCCAAGTACCAGATGATTGCGAACCTACGGAATGACGGGAAGCAAGTAATATTGTAGGGATAGGAGGATCAACCATGGTTGGTTCGAGTACGGTTCCTGGTGCGCTATTGCCTCGTCGACGATTTAGGGACCGCTGAGATGGAAGTCTCGATGCCTTGAATCGAGTATCCCTATCGAACAGCTGATGGGGCTTGGTAGCATCGTCTTTGCGGAACGCCGATATGGCTTCTAGAAGTGGTAGTTGTGCGTTATGATCGTTCCCTGGAAGAGCCACCTGTCGTGGAGGGTAGCGAAGACGAGGATCTACGATTGAGAAAGCCAGGAGAGACCCAAGGGGTAAAGCACCGGGATCTTTCAAACCGGCGAGAGACTCGAACTTTGAAGCATGCGATTCTTTCGAATCAGATTTTTGGAAGTATGGCCGAAGCACTCCGAGTAGAGCTTCAGTCGAGTCGGGGCCTATGATATCAATGCTTCCGATTTCAAATCTCAGGTCTTCTACATAAGGCCGGGGATTCTGCATCTTTGCGAGTCGTAATAGCTCGTTGAAAGTCTCTAAGAATGCAGATGGGTGAACACGGATGAAAAGTTGTCTAAATTCTTTACGTTGCTCTTCACCTTCAACTTGCTTTTCCGGATTCCAGATTATAGTCGTCGGACCAATAACGTGTGTGCCGTCTGCACTTTTCCTGCTTAATATTCCGGACCAATGCATATTACCTGACCTCCAGCGCCTTGCCTTGTCGTTCCACAGAGCTTCCTGTGTAAGACCCAACGACTTGAGAACATTCTGGACGCTATTCTGAGGTCCAGATAAGCCAATTGTGCTCATATAGCTCATGTCCCAAGCCATTGCACCCTTTTCCCATTGAATGCGGTGAGTTGGTCGGTAGACTTTTTGTGATGGGGTAAGGGGGAGTGCAAACCTCCACAGGGGTTGTGTAGGAGGTGTCATCCTCGCTCGCTTTGCGTGCCATAAGTGAGTAGGAAGCCAGGTTTTTGAGAGTTGGCGCTTTCTAAATTTCCTGGCGGTAATAATAGGTTCGTTAAGCGCATTTCTTTTTATCTTGGGCCTAGCAGCCCTTATGGAGATGGTTTCATCGTCAGCGCCAGAACTCTTTAGTTTCCGTAGCTTCTTTCGTCTTGAGAGAAGATCTAGCTTCCGAGAAATCTCAGCTCGCAACCTCGCTCTAGTGGTCTTTGGCTTTCTAGTCTTAGAGCTGACGGTTGGAGTATTATCCTCTACCATTTCTCTCTTGGCCCTCTTCCGTAGTCGTCTCGGGACTTTCTTATAGTTATGGGCTGCAGCCCTACGTCTCATTCTGAAAGGCACACGCTGAAATGCTCGGCTGGTTTGAGACGTCCTTGTACGTCTCATACTCTCATCTAGAGCATTGATCTCGAAGGAAAGAGAGCCGACAAACGACTGAACGTTGAGCTCACCATCTTTCAAGGCAGCATGAGATTTCTGGGCGGCAATGCTTCTAACCTCATGGGTCTTTGCACGCTTTGCATCCCGTGTCCTATGATCAGAACCCTTCCCTTGATTCTTGAATCCTGCATCTTGCTGCGGAGGGTCTTTTCTCTTATTAGATTTTGACTGGTCTGAATTTCTAAAAGTTTCAGGACCCGACTTCGGCTTATTCATTGAAACCGCTTTACTACCCGAGTCTCCGGGAGGCTTAGTCTTCGACACCTGCTTCGGAGGCATCTTGTCGGAGTAGATACTATGTGTAAGCCATATGAGTCAACGCGCAAAGGGGGCAGTATATTCGATTCGATGGTACTTCAAGAGCAAGCCTACTGTACGCTTCCAAGGTAGGATACGATAGGTAGGCCTGCTAGTTATGGAGCTAAGGTTGAACCAACGCAAAAGGCTTGAAAAAAACACACTTATTCAAAATCTTTCACCTTGACTTCATTAGGTAGTGCATGATGATATGCACCAAGGGTTGGATACCGCGTATTGCTAAACGCGTATTGTGCTCCGCGTGCAGGTGGGCATGTGCTTCAAATTTTTAGTACCGCATTTTAGAAGGGTTCTTAGTGGGTCTGGCAGGTAATCGGGCACAGCTGGCGTTTTGTTCTAGCATTCAAAATACGCGTACGAGACAGCTGGGGCTGCTGGGCTCCGCTAGATTTAAGGTTAAAGAACGGTACATCTTAGAGTACTTACAGTTTTACACCAATATTGTACTTGGTACTAGTAGATTGGGACTGCCATGGCTCGAATTCGGTTAACTTAGGCACAAACAATGACGTAGACAAGTCTTAACTACATGGTATGAAGTACCTCGCTCTTAACGTCCGAGCTGAATTCGACAAGGTCCGGAACATTTCCTGTTTCCACAGCCATCATTCAATGTTAGAACGAACCAACAAGCATTGCTTTAATTCTTTTTTCTACCTAACCTAGCTTTCCTTGATCTCGACGTCGCCCTATATTTGTGGCTGATTCTAGCACCAAGAGCTAGGGGTAACGTAACCCCCCCCTAATTCAATCTAATTCAACTCCTTCCCTACTAGGCTTACCTTGTCTCGAATTCGCCTTGCCTCGTTCGTACAATTCCAGTAGAAACCCAGCAGAAACCTGTTCGCTTTTCGGGATCCGGTACAGCCGAAGCGACAGTTCTAGCCGCTACATATCTAGTACCTAACCGGGCTACCAAAAACAGGCTACAATTGATGTTTCGCTCCGAATCATGACTGCATGTTACCAGCACACCATCTACGCCGTTCGCATTTGCTACTAGTTAGCATGTGCAGCATTCCCGCTGCTGGGGTGAATGCGGCTTTATTAAGACTATGTCGTCCTTAAGTATGTAAGCCTGTAAGCCCCAAGCTATCGCCGTCCTTCTTCCCCTTCACGCTTTGTCACACGGTTTCTTTGAGCCGCATTCCTGTATTCTCTCTATTATTATCGGTTGCCTCTCATTCATCCAATAAGCGAAGATGTAACTCTGCCTACATTCGGCAACTTGTCATTGTTGTTATTAGCACATTTGTGTTTTGCCCTTCATACTGCTGCTATCCCTTGTCTTCCTTCCATTTTGCTTCGCTGGGAGAATTGTCATAATAATGTCTCTCACTTTGATTACGACACCCATTGCTATGCGCCAAATTCGTATTTTTCTCAAGCTAACATGCGTATTCTTCCAATAGTTAATAAGGCTCGGAAGGTATATAATACATATATTACTATTTACTTCACCCTGACTTATATTTCACAATGCTAATGCATATCTCCGTCCCTCTTCTAGCCGAAATTCGAGCTTCACCTCACTATCTACGACTTAAACAATGTACCATTAGTTGCCGGCACCTCTACGATAAAATGGTACCTTCCGAACTCGATACATGGCGAGAATCGCGGCCGTACGGCCAAGTGTTCCATCGACAAGATCAATCATCGCGTTGTATATAACTATTCTAAGATCATACCCTTGCGCATCTCAATCGATCGCAATAACAACCTTTCCGAATGCCCTATCGAATTCGAGGTACTGCAGGAGTTTCCCATGGTCCCCGGCGGTCGCGACGAGAAGATTCCCCTTGGCGTTGTCAAGTTGAACCTAAGCGAATATGTCGAAGAAAGCGAAAACTTTCCTCGCCGGAGTATAGGCGCGCGGGCCAGCGCAAGCCTGGATCATGCACGAGAGAAGATCGGACAAGGCATGTCGCACCGACGACAAAGCAGTAGCAAATCGGGCAGTAGCCTTCCACCCGGTGTCATAGGGGGGACCAGTCCACCAAGCACAACAGCGCCGCCGCTACCACACCCAGAAGAAAATGACGTGGTAGACGATGAGGCCGAAGAGGGCATTGTCCGGCGATACTTAATGCAGGAAAGCAAGATTAACAGCACACTTAAGATTGGCATCTTAATGATTCAGATTGACGGCGAGCGTAACTACGTCGCGCCTCCCCTCAAGACGGCTCCTATGTTCGGCGGCATAGCCGGCATCATGACGGGTAGCGAGCAGGTCCCGGTCGAGGCACCCGAAGACGGGTCTACGCCCCCCAGCACTAAAACTAACTCCGGCTCCCTCGGCAAGTCCCGAGACGCTTCGGAGCTGCAGGACATGTATCGCCGCGCGCTAGCAGCAAGTTGGGCTTGTCAACCCGGCGAGCTACCGGCCGACGAGTGCATCGAGGACATCTTCTCAGGTGGCGACGGGTGGAGCGATACCACGCGCCCCGGCTCCAAGCCCCCTACCCGCCGCAGCCGCCTCTCGCATTCTAGCAGCGCTAGTAACAACAGCGGCAACATAAGTGACGACGAAGGCGTTGGTGGTAACACGTTACGGCCCGCCGATATCCACCGCATGCGCCAACACCATCTGCGCACGCGCAGCGGCGGCAGCGATCGCAGCTCTCCGACGCTGACGGGCGGGTTGCGCAGCAGCAGTACTAATGGCCGCCAGGAAGGCGGAAGCGGGCGACATCCTCGGTACCGGGGACCCGGGAAGCCACTTAAAGAAGACGGCGGCGTAGACGGAGCATCAGATGGCGTGCGCAGCCGTAGCGGGAGTTTAACAAGTCTAGCGCCAACATTAATCAGCGACCGTGGACGTGAGGGGTTCAGACGGCCGAAAGAAGTAGACGAGTACGAGGAGCGCGAGGACCTAGTCGCTTGGACGTTACCCGAGACCGTAGTCTAAGGTTAAAGCTTGTGCGTGTGCTAGGGTATGCATAGCATAGCATAGCGTAGCATGGCAGGGATAGCATATTATATTCGTGGGACATGGCGTATGGTTGTTTTTTATATCCATGTATTGGAGCTAACTACCTAATTTACTTCACACACATACCTAAAGTCTTGGTTGAGATTGGATAGACAGACTTTATAATCTAGAAGTGGGAATTGTATATGTGAAGGACGGATTGGATGGGGTTGGCGTTATGCATATATAATAGGTTGGTACATGTATAAACCGGCTGCACATAGATTAGATTAATAGACAGAACGCACCGCGTCTCGAATTAGATCACATTACACTGCGAAACCGGGAATTAACCTGCACGACGAGAAACGAGAAACGAGATATACAAAGTCATAGCATGCATAAACATCATAACTACATACCTAGTTAAAATGCGTATATGCATCACGTCTACTCTATTCCCATGCTTAGCCTATGCCTATTCTGCCTGAGAGGGTGGAAGGTGGAACAAAATTCCGCCCAAGTTAGTTCCATCTACCGAATAGTGTCTACCGAGCGTCGCGATGCCTCCCTCCCTTTTAACTAGACCGACGCCAATAAGCGAAGAGCAGTAAGTAACATTACCTATCTACCTAGGTAAGTAAGATAGGACGGGTGAACTATCTTACGGAGCTGCAAGAGTCCCCCTGACGCCACCCTTGCCGCCGACAGCTCTCGCCGTGATGGTGACTGCGAGGTCGGGTGCGACGTTGATGGTGACCTCGACTTTGCCCCCCTTCTTGACGTCCCGGACAGCCGCCTCCGCGAGGGTAGTGCCGATCTTCCAGATCTTTTCCCTGTGCTCCTCTTCCTCCTCGTCGGAGTCGAAGTCGCTGTCGTCTTCATCTTCGTCATCTTCCTTGTTGCCGTTCTCCTTTGGCTTCGGCTCCGGCTTCGTCACCTTGATGTGAGTGCCGCCTTCAGCCACCTTCACCAGTACGTCGCCTCCATTTGTGGGGGCTCCGATGTGGATTGTTCGGCGAGCCGGTGCAGCAGTCTCGGGTGCGATGATGGGTGTGAAAATCTCCTCGCCATCGTCGGATAATGAGATAACACCAATAGCATTAGTAATGTGCTTGACAGTTGTAACGGCAGGGTGCGTCGACTGCTCAATGTCCTCCGCCTCGTATTCTTGGATCAAAGAGGCCTGGAGAGCAGCACCACGGGCTTGGAGCTCCGAAGGGTTAATGGCGGTTGCACTCGTTGCGGGGGCCTGGATAGTAGTAGTCTCCGGGAATATCGCGCGGAAGTTGTTTGCGATTCTGGGAGTATGGGATGTGCCACCAGAGAGAATGACCTCGTCAATATCGAGGACGTCCAATCCGGCCTTCTTTATGACACCGTCAACGAGGCGGTTGAAGCCTTCGAATACCTTACGAGCAATTGTCTCGTATCTCAGTCTGTTGATGGTAGTCTGGAAGTCAATACCGTCCGCCAAGCTTTCGACACTGAAACTGGCGTTGGTACCAATGCTAAGGGCCTTCTTAGTAGCTTCGGATTCGGCCTTAAGCTTCGCTAAGCTCCTAGCGTTTCCTCGAGGGTCGACATTGGGGTTCTTCTTCATAAACTCTTTGGCGAAGTGTTCCATAAGGACATTATCCAGGTGAACCCCAGCAAACTCATAGTCGTGAGCCGTTGCGAGGATTGTATACAGTCCACCTCTCGAAGCTACTACGGCAACATCTGAGCGTGTACCACCAAGATCGGCCACCACGATTATCTTATCTTCCAACTTAGCCTCCGGTCTTGCGTCATAGGCAAGAACTGAAGCGATAGGCTCGTTGATTAATTGAAGGACCTCAAGCTCAGCATCGTTTGCGGCCTGAATCAGGGCTTCTCTCTGGGGCTCTGTGAAGTTTGTAGGTACCGATATTACGGCAGAAGTAACCTTCCTTCCTAAGTAGTCCGAAGCAGATTGTAGAAGACGGCGCAGATATCGGGTAGAAACTTCCTTCACGGAAAGGGTAGAAGGCGATTCTCCCTCGACCTTGTCTTGAACGGTGAAAGAAACTGTTCCGTTCGCTTCCTGGGGGTGAGATGCGGCGTGACAGTGAGTAGGGTCGATAGACTTGAATCTGTTCCGAAGGTAAGTACTTATTCGGCCATATAGTACGAATGGAGAACTAACTCTTGACCAAGGAAGTCCTTGAATGATATGATTGTATTCTGGGGGTTCCGGATTAACATGGCCTTGGCCTGGTTTCCGGTGTATTCTTCTCCATCGACATATGATAGGATGGTGGGGATCTGTCGGTCTATATTATAGGATTAATTAGCGAAGTGTCGCAAATATAGAGGCGTGCTACCGCTACCCACCTCCATCTTCGTTCGCAATAACAATAGGACTGTCATCAGTTGTAGAAGCAATAGAGCTGTACGAATTGCCAAAGGATATACCAATGGCGCATCGATCACTTGGCGAAACGCCAAGTTGGCCAGCTCCCTTCTCAGTCATGGATGCGATCTTCCTAAAATCTTAAAAATAGCCAGGTTCGTAAGGAATAATTTCAAGTCGAGGCCAGAGAATCCAAGTAGTGTTGGATAGTAGTGTTCGCTGGTGGGGTGTGAGATTTGGGATTTCGGCGCCTTGCCAAAATTTTGTTCTTTAGAGCCAAAAGGAAAAAAAAAATGAAGTTCCTCGATTGCAGCACATCCCTGCCCACTGCACCCCCACATTCCAATTCCCGATTCCGCATGGCGGATTAAACCTAGCCACAATAGCCCCTCCAAAGCTTTTCAACAGCCACAAGTAGAGCTAAAAGCAACCACTCCCGTCGACCTGTCCATTAGGTAGGTACATTTTCGTAGCTCAGCCACTAAATTTTCAAAGTTACATCTTCTCTTAGAACAACATAAAACTAAAAATGGCAACTGCACAGAGTGAGAGGGTATTTGTCCTCCCGGGGGACCAGATAAATCCTTCTTTGATTCCGTCACATCCAAAACGAGCTTTACGGCTCGGTCCCGGACTTCGGCACATCCCTCCGAATGAGTTGATACCTACAGTCGCCGGCCAGCTCGTCACCGACCCTAGGAAGAATTCGATATGGGTTGAGTACAACGGAGGACGAGTAAGTCAACGGTTTGCCTACCTACAAGATCATGTATTGACAATCCCTATAGTACATACCAACGGTCGGTGATCTAGTCATTGGTACCGTGCATCATTCAGCAGCTGACTACTTTTACGTCATGCTGTCCAACTATACTTCCAATGCTATACTGCCGCAACTAGCATTTGAGATGGCCACGAAGAAGACGCGGCCTAATCTGAATCCCGGTGCTCTAGTCTACGCGAGGGTCTGTCTCGCAAATCGGCACATGGATCCTGAGCTTGAATGCGTCTCGCCAAGCACAGGAAAAGCAGACGGCTTGGGTCCCTTAAACGGCGGTATGCTGTTCGATATCTCACTAGGCATGGCTCGACGGCTTCTAATGCGTAAATCCGCTGAAGAGGGCAAGGTCGTTGTCTTAGAGGAACTGGGGTCCGCGGGTCTTGCTTTCGAGACCGCAGTCGGTAGGAACGGGAAGATATGGGTCAACAGTGAGAAGACGAAGACTGTGCTGGTAGTTGGACGGGCAGTAAAGGAGACAGATGAAAATAGTCTTACTGTTGACCAGCAGAAGAAGTTGGTACGAAAGCTGGTTAAGGAGATGAGTTAGGTCGGGTCCAAAACTACTCTGATGTAGGTTAAGGCTGTTTTCTCCATACTTCAATGATACCCCAGTACTTTTCAGTCAGATTCCGTATATGTTTTGATATTTGAACAATCTTTTTAAGTTTATGATATTGTGGTATGAGTGATGACGTCTTCTATACGTTTATTACTATCAACATATCGTATACACTGGTATTTTTCATGTTTTCTTATCTAAAAGAATGGCTCAGAACGGTTCACATGAGACGATAAGGAAATATACGAAAATATAAAACATTAATTTATATATATAAAGGCGCTATCCAGAGCATTTTCGAAGCGAAAATAGCTAATCTTGTGCTACAAGAGTAGCCTTAAAACTATAACTTTCCCACATTCAGTCCATCGCTGAATATCAGGACCATCTTCCTTTTTTGTTTTGTTCTTATCTTAATCTGTTTCCATGTCAAATAGATAAATTAAGATACGATGTATAAGTCAAGAAAGAAGCATCAACGAGTACGCCTACAACTCACCGTAAGAACGCCATAGAACGCCGAACCGTATAAACCAGCTAAAGTTCAGCAAACATGGCACATTGGGAACTTACCCTGCCCGCCCCTACCTTTTTGTTAACCAGCGTGCGACAGTCAAATCCATTGCATTTGCCACTTACGTTCAAGCTGCCGCCTCTCGAGGCAGCTAAGACATACCTTGTCATCGGAATCTTCAGGGTTGCAAAAGCAGGATTGTACAGCGCATGAAAAGGCAGGGGAAGGTGTACTTATAGAAACAAGCATGGTGGACTGATCGTCATTGTCCCCATCCTGACTTTTCTCTTCCATATAGGCAGTTGACGGTATACCACGTTCATGGTAGAATATCGCGCTATCTAGTGCACGCACGCCGGAAGTTCGCTTTGGCGGGACTAGCGTTAAGGGTCAGCGACTCGTTCATGTTTCGATCATCGAAGAGGACAACAAGGTGGGAGGGTTCATGCAAGAAAATTGTCAAAATTACTTACTTGAGACCACATCCAACGATGTGCCTGTTTCGACCATGAGTGAGTCTACTGAGGGTTTAGTCCGTATGAATGTAGCGGGGGCGGTGCGGATCCGGGGAGCGTGTTCGGTGTTCAATGCTTCTGCAAAGCTGACACTTTTGACTATTTTCTCTTTGCCGCCAATACCAGCAGCGGGTGCAGGGGTGTCCTTACGCCAGGTAGGAACTTTCGGTGCTCGCTGAAGTTTGGGAAAAGTAGGCAGACTAGACACGGTTTCATTTTCATGGTCGGGATGACTTCGAACATCGAACTCTTCAGCCTGTTCGGTTATTCGTTGGACGAGGGAGCAGTCAGATCGCTTTAGCGGAAGGTCATAAGACCTTGTCTTTGGGCGAATAGGTTTTGGTTGAACCGGTGGCCCGCTAGGCGGTCTACCGCGAGCGCTGAGAGGATAATCAAAATCGTCACTGACTAGGTCGGAAAGATCGATAGGGGTGTTGCTCCCGTATTCCCTGACCGGGCATCCAGCCCCTATCTCCGATACAAACGGGCCAGTCTCAGCAGATATAACGTAAGAATACTCGTTTGGGACGGGAAAATATTTGCGATTTACGGAATTCTGTCCGGAATTTCTTCTCGAAGAAACGGCATCTGTATGGGTAGGCTGCGCTTTGGGGCGCTTATGATGTTGATCATGATGTCTATTTCGGTGGACTAAAGGCGGCGGCGGTCGAAGTCCAACTGGGGAGTTGTTCGGAGCTCGCGGGACTTCCATCGTACTTGGAACCCGTAACGATCGCCTTCTTCTAGTAATTTCAGCTTCTGCAGTATTCTCAGCTTCTCTGGCATGTCTAGCTTCCGTAACATTTTTGGCTTCCGTAGCACCTTCAGCTAGTTTTTGGAAAGCCGCCTTGGAGATGGTATATGCGTCACGATGAACAGTTCTAGGATCGATCGTTTGATTATAAAGCCCGTTATTAAACTTATACTCGAGGAATTTCTGGCTTACAGGAATAGCGGCTTTCTTGCCAAATTCTTCAGCGAAGAAATCTAGACAGTCATGACACACTCGCTGTACGGATTGTGAACTACGCACCGGGTCGCAGCTTGAAAGCATAGAACCCAGGCAGAAATAATTCCGGATGAGGTTATATCGCCAACATCTATAAAATTCTTGCTCCTTGTGGCGGCAAGCGTAGCGGAGCGTGAGGCGTTTACAGTCGCACGGCATGATGAATATTGTTGCCTAGGTACCTAGATACGTAGAAGCGTAATAAAGAGCGTGCTATTACTACACTGCTAAATATCTAGGAAGAATTGGAGGTTGAATGTTCTACCTAGGAGATTGTTGTTTCTGCCGTGTCTTTTATAGGGGAAACATGATGGAAACGATGGTAAACGATAAGTCGCGAGGACATTTATAGGAGATTCAGAGCAATTCAGAGTTTTTGTTCTATAGCATTATTATCAACATTGTTCTAAAACAAGAGGAAAAATAAAGGACTTATTTATAAAGGAATTGTTATCCCGAAAATCTCATAGCAACCTCGTTTAAAGACAAAGAGACTGAATCATCACAACGTAAATCAGTCTATTGTCTTCGACTCGATAGGTGCCTCTTGGGATAGAAATCAACAAGACAAAGCCCTAAGTAAGGTCCGTACCAAAGGATAGTTTTTCTGCAGCTAATTGAATTTTGGATATCATCCTATTCCGAGGTTGTCTTATTGATAGCCCTAGGTTAAGGATTTACTTCTTTTCGATGGCTAAGATGGTTAAGGTGGTCGAAACTACAATGTACCACTAACCAAGGTAACATTTGTATCCGCATCGAGAGAGGCAGTGTAAATTACGAGGCTAACTTTATGTACTCATAACGAGATTGTTCCGATTTGTCATAAGTGAGAATTAAAGATTTCTAAGGTGGCCGGTTGAGTCATCACCGCGGATCTCTAGTAGAGACTATTATATAAGTATGGTAGTACACGACTATATCTTATCTAAAGACTTAAACCTTGTATTCAAAGAAGCTACCCCACCAAAGCTACCTTAGGTACCTAAGGTACCTATCCTTAACAAACCGTCCCCCGTCTCAACCCACCTTTCGTCATAACAGTTTAGAATAACGTCCCCATTCTTTTCTAAGTCCTATCGCTTTCCAAGCCTCAATATCATCATATATCTTTAGCAAAATAATATTTCGGGTTGGCGTCGCAAAAGATGGATCAGAAAGCAGACGATATTCTGCGACGACCCCTCTATGGTGAATTCCCATTTCAGCCCACCATCGCAAAAAGTTACAGTACATCTTCTAACCATCCCACCCGCGAATAGTCTATGACCTCCCCGACCAAGTCCTTAACAGCCTCTCCTTAAAACAAGACGCCGCCGTCAACGGCCCAGATACGACCAAGGAACCGACCGAATCCGCAACGCAATCACAAACACAAGATGCGACGTCTGGAAACTCGTCACCCGTAGTAGGCTCGCAGTCATGCTCGCTATGCGCCCTCTCGTTTGGCACCGTACAAGACCAGCGCAGCCACCTAAAGTCCGACCTGCATCACTACAACCTAAAGCAGAAACTGCGCGGGAAAAGCCCCGTCTCCGAAGCCGAATTTGAGAAGCTGATTGCGGATCTCGACGAGAGTCTTTCGGGCTCCGACTCGTCGGACTCTGATGACGAAGACGAGGATAACGGCGACAAGGAGAGCAACCTCCTAACAACTCTCTTGAAGAAGCAAGCTACGCTTTCAGGAGACAACTACAATCGTGCTGCAGGCGATCAAGGAGACGGTGAAGATGGGAATCCGAGAAAGAAACAACGGGGCGGCGGCGCGCAGCCTCTGCTATGGTTTAGCTCATCTCTCCTACCTCAGAATACCTATTTTGGCATCTACCGCGCCATATTCGCGCTGGCAGAATCTAAGGACGAAAATATAATTGTCGAAACGATCAAGAAGAAGCAACTAGAACCAATACCTGTGCCCAAAGCGGGACCGGACGGCAACTTCGCGCCCTCCGTCTACAAAGGACCGCACATCTTCCTCTGCATGATCGGCGGCGGGCACTTCGCAGCCATGGTAGTGTCACTGGCGCCGCGACAAACGAAGCACGGATCTGTGGGTCCTTTGAATAGAGAAGCGACGGTATTGGCGCATAAAACATTTCATAGATACACTACGAGGAGGAAGCAAGGCGGTTCGCAATCAGCAAACGACAATGCGAAGGGCAATGCTCATTCGGCCGGTTCAAGTATCCGTCGGTACAACGAGCAAGCCCTAACAGACGAGGTCCGACTTCTTCTCCAAGATTGGAAGGGCCTTCTTGACACGGCAGAGTTACTATTTATTCGGGCCACGGGATCTACGAACCGAAGAACGCTCTTCGGTCCGTACGAAGGTCAAGTCCTACGAGCTAACGATCCGCGCATACGGGGCTTCCCATTTAGCACGCGAAGGGCAACTCAAAACGAGTTGATGCGATCTTTCATTGAGTTGACGCGGTTAAAAGTCCGCGAAATCGATCCAACCCAGGTTTCAAAGGCGCAGGAGGAACCGTCTGCGAAGACGACTTCTAAACCAGCGAAGCCGACTGCGCCTAAGTTAACAGAGGAGGAAGAAACTGCACTATTACACACATCACAGCTACAAGCTTTCATACGAAGATCTAAACTGCCCGCTCTACTATCATACCTGAAGAGCAACGACATATTCGCCAATTTCCTCTTTCAGCCAGCAGACTCGACCCAAAACCACCACGCACCAACTCCTCTACATCTAGCAGCGAACCAAAACTCGGCGCCCCTCGTACTAGGACTACTAGTAAAAGGAGCCGCAGATCCCACGATCAAGAACGGTGAAGGCAAGACTGCCTTCGAGCTAGCCGGCGACCGATCGACAAGGGACGCCTTCAGGGTAGCGCGCGACGAGCTCGGCGAGACAAAATGGGATTGGGAAGCTGCGCGAGTACCGCCTGCCATGAAGAAAGAAGAAGCAGAAAAGCGAGACGAGCGCGAACGCAAAGAAGACGAGAGGAAAGAAGCAGAACGGCGTAAAGCCGAGGAGCAACGGCTCAAGAGTGAAGGGCCCAAAGTTCCCGATAGCAATAGCAAGGGGCGCGGGAAGAGTCTTTTAGACAGCGGTACGAAGAAATCTGCGCAGGAAAAGCGCGAGGAGGAGGTAAGGGGCCTTACACCCGAGCAGAGGATGAAGCTCGATCGGGAACGAAGGGCCCGGGCGGCGGAGGAGAGGCTGCGGAGGATGCAAGCTGGCGGTGGCGGCTAGACCACATAGGTAGGTAGGTACCTTACTGCTAACGTAAGGCATGCATGCTTATAAGGGGGAGAATAAAATAGAAACGGACTTTTAAGATGAGGCCGCATGATGAGCTGCATCGGATTGATTGGCCCGGCCAGGTCAAGTGAACGCAACCGCCGAGTACCGAAGCATGCTTCTTCTTCTTCTCCCGTGGCGGTTGTTTGTTCATACCTACCTAATGCATGTATGTGCAGTAGCACGGCGTCAAGCTAGATCTATTGCTGGTCCGTAGAAATTAGGATAGGACATTTTAGAATAGAACGGGTGGTGGCGAAACGCTCATAAGCGCCGCTAACCCTATGCCGGGCGTTCAATGGAACCCGATCGGGAAGCCTCTTTTACGCGGCGGCACATTTTTGTGCTAGGTCGAGGCGAAAATAGCGAATGGCGTTGCGGTTGTGTACCTCTTACAATGCCTACATGATGTAAACAAGTATCTACCTAGGTAATCTTTATATGATGGTCTATTGATGCACACCTAAGGTCAAGGAAGATGCTATCAAAATTAGATGTCTGGAAGTCAGTTTCGGTCCCGAGTGACGGACTAGAAGATCTCTACAGTTTCAACGGTATCTACCTTGTAGCTTACCTGTAAGTAAGATGTGAGTAAGCTCGCTCTTGGATATCTTAGGTAGGTAGATGAAAGGAGGAAGAGCCGTTGGATTATAATAGTGCATCCTACGAGCCTTATATTTGACGGTTTTGGCAGGAGATGCGTATTTGCCGTCGTCACCAACTCGACTTGTTCCTTTTAGACAACCCATGGACAAGTTCTCAAACATATGGTAATTGACAATTGATCCCGGATGTGGAATTCTATATGCCTTTGGCTTACGATTAGGTAGCTTTACCTTACCGTTTCTAGGTTGCTTATCCCCGGATACATAGCCACCTCCTCTTAATCTCAACCATTGTACCGGACAGCTCGAGTTAACAACGTCTTCTTCATGCAGTCATCAGTCAATGTTATCAGTCAGATCAATCAATATGCCGGTGTTCCAGTTTCTGTTTGACCATCGACTATATTGTTGGAGGCGGCCTTGGTATTATATGTCGTTCGTAAATATGCCGCTCGCAATATGCCGCTCGCATCATGAAAATTGCATGCTAGTGGCACTGGGAGAATCGCCGCCAAGCACGAAATCCTCCCGACGCACCTGCGTTTGTCTTTACCACGAACTTGGCTTCTGAGGCATCTGGCTGGAGTTGTAAATCTGAAGCTGGGGCTTCAAATAGTGGAGTGCAAATCGACAATTAATCAAAGGGATCTCGACAGATCGATCTTCGTTGATTTACTTCGCGGGGACTAATTAGGTCTTGTCCCTGCAGGATTTTTATCGTCAGCGTTTAGCTCCCGCGGATTATCAGTAGGGGCCCGTTATGATAACGATCAGCACACGCCCGAGAGGCCGGAACAGAAGGCTTTGCTTGCAGCGCTGATCGCAGCGCTTCGCAGCTAATAATAGTTGAATAATGCCTGATAGCACGTTTTGGCCCTCTTTAGAACTCGACAATTTAATAACTTAGAGAGTGATTCCTTAGTCCTTAGTAGACGAAGCTCTGAATACTCCAAAGCACCGCATAATTTCGCCTACTTGGCATAGTAATATCTGCGTAGAGAATCTTCCACCTCTTAGCTTTTAGCTACTACGGATGAGATGCCCCGTGCGTAGTATATTAGAAGGTCGCTTCGCTTCCTTTGACCCTTAAGCGTTGGTTCCCTAAGTTATATCATTCGATAAATCCCTTAGACCCGAAGCTAAGCTAAGTATGTAAGTGCTGTAGTGTATTCTTCTCACCTCGATAGTTGTACTGTATGCATGTTGTATTGATTGAATGTTCAGGTAGCTCTGCTAATATAGAATATGTAACCATGCGTTGCATACTATTGGCTGGATTCCGGACAGCTCCCCATTTTACTCATCTATCAATAGCCTAATATGGCATTAAAGAAATGTGAAAGAAACATTATTATTTCGGTTTAGGACTTAATCCGTAGCCATATATAGCATTCGTTAGGTAATTAATTTCCGACCACGAGGAAACTATTGGTGATCAGACCCCAGAGAATGGTTAGACGGTAGATATGCTGGTAACTCCAACATCCATGGGTGTCGATAACGTTAAACTTATTCCGAAAGAGGTATATGTGCCTGTCGATCCCTCTTAGGTTCTAGGCTTGTTGTTTAAACTGATCTTAGAGATTGAACGCACAGTCCTAGTTGTTCTAATACTACTCATATTCTCATCTCGTACGGGAAATTGTGCTTGGACCCATCAAGAAGCATTTTAGCTTCGGGAGGTCGAGGAAATAATAATTTTGTGAAATTTGACAGCTCTTAACTAAGCGCAAAGATTTAGCCTTATCATTCTCTGCCTATGTATGGCCGTGTAGATCTGTAACGACAAGATTTCCGAGAAGGGCTCTCAAGCCGAAGATGGGACGATACTGCATGGCCAATACCGTCGCATCAGCCAAGGGTAGGTCTCAGGTAATACGTGCGGCTCGTATTTACCCCGTAGTAGATCGCCTGTCGTCCGAATAGGGGAAGCTAGATGAAGGTGGATAGAAGCTCGGCTCTCGGTATGTAGCGACCTGTCAAGGGTTTTCCTTGTTCAGATCATCGAGCTAGCTCAGAATCTCGGCGGACATTATCGTATACATAGAGATCTAGGAGAAATGGAGGATAGTTTAGCTGGTTACGTAGATTTAGCCCTTTCAATTCTAGCACTACTACTACTATGTAGTTAATCACGCAGAGAAAGGCAGACAAGAAAGAAAATAGTGAGACTTTGGGCTCCAAGCTGGCGGGTGTCGGAAGCTGTTACTGGCTAGAGAATGAAACATAGTTAAAGCAACAAACTCCTATGTAACGGGGTGCGGGGAGCTAAACTACAAAGGGTTAACAGTATTGGATCTCGCTTCTTAGGGAGGTGCCAAGATCTTAGATGTAACCCCTTGCTAAACTACCCTGTCTTGTCAAACCATAAAGCTAAAGCTTATGTAGTTGACATCCATGGATATGACGCCCGGGCAGTCGCTCTAGCCACAAAACTTGGTCGGAACATCTCGTAGGTAGTTAGGTACTTATTTCGTACTATTTTTCCGATCAGGAAGGCTTTAACGAGTTCTAGCAGAAACTACCTCCTTACTAACTACCCCTCGGTGCTATTTTACATGGTGTTTTCCGTATTATCCGACTTCTATTTTGATAGCTTGACAGAGAGAAAGGTCTTATGGAGGCCCGTTACAGCAGTACAAGGACTTGATAATAAAGGTAAGGCTCAGTGAGGCGAATGTAGATCTCATTACATAACAGCGACTGATGGATTATCATAGGTAGGGTTAACGCATTATTGGTAGAAAAAGACCGATCGTTGCAGGGACTATAACAGATCTGAGCGTCCGATAAAAACCCATTCTGTATGTAATCGAATCGGTGGTCCCACGTTGCCACCCTTGGCCTTGGCTGTAGTTTGCAGATGCGACTCGTTGATAGTCTTATACCTGCATTAGGGCCGGCTCCTCAGGTTAGAGGCAAAGTGGCTGTGCCTGTTTCAAGTTGAACAAAACCACCATTTCTCTCTTCTAGTAAGGGGCCTTGGGGCTCTTCAAGTTCTGAGCCAGTCTCGCTTTGTTTTTGGCAAGTATCCAATGTCATGCATCTATGCAATCTAGGAGCCGGCAGTATCTGATGATGGTGTGTCAGGGCTAGGTATACTGCTTTCTGCTTTGATCCATGTGATAGAGGGCGTCATCGTTACACGACAGCCATCCTCTTTTCACCATCTTTAGAATCAACTGACAAAACTATGTCAGCCAGTTTATTTCTGGCGGCTTACTCAAACAAACGCTAACGGCAGTATCTATCTGTTTATGGTAGCAATCGGGTAGAGAGGAGTAGGCATCTGGATGTGATTTCCAAAAAGAATATGTGAATGCTATGGCAGTTCCTTAGAAAAATTCATTGTAAACAGGGACTGCCATTGGCCAGAAAAGACATGTCGGGGTCAAATTGACTGGCCAGAAACAACGGATAGATTATAGGTGATCCTTGACAACCCCCTGAAAATACTACATCAGGATCTAAGACACCCCAGCTTGCAACCGCGCGCTCTGTGCTCTCAGCTCGGTCTAACTGGTTCAACTTCACGCGGGTCCCTAGAGTGAGTCCATTCGACATTCCGACCTCCATGAGAGCTATGCCATGCCGCTTTGGGCAACCTTCCTCCTAGTCAAAGACCACCCTGTGAGCTAGGTCTTGCTCGATCCTGGAACAGGGGACGAGAGCCTACAGGCCTCAGAATGGGTGCTTGGAATAATCCAACCAATTCTAGATCCCGGTCAAGCAGGGTTGGACCTCTACCCGCACGACTCTGTTAACCTCCTCTCCAAACGAATGGCTCACGGCTGCCCATTAAGATCTGGTATATATGGTGGTGAATCTCTTCATCATCTATCTCCAGAAAGACTCCTTCTCTATCACTACTTTCTTTTCCTTAAGGTAGACATCACTGTCGCTTCTTTCTTATTTGGAAGTCTAGGTCATTCGTTTTCCTACTTCCGCCCTTCATTTTCTTTTTGCTATATACAGTAATTATAAGAAAAACCACATTCTCTACAAGAATTTCAACCACTACCTATCTAGGCCAGAGTTAAATCAAAATGAAGTACTCCTTCACGCTTGTTACCCTGGCTGCTGGCATCAGCCAGGTCACGGCCACGGGCTTCTTCGGATTTCACAATGCCCCCCAATTCAGCTGCCCCGATAACACGGATAACGTGTGTATTCCCGACATCGTAAAGGGTATCGACTGGTCCGACCTCGCCTTCGGTTCATTCGATTCGTACAAAGGATTCAAGTGGAATGGCTTCACTTGTAGCGAGAAGTTTGGCAAGCGGGATGAGTTGACCGCCCGGACTTTCCAGAGCAAGTGTATCACCGGCAATGCGCAGCAGGACAAGGAAAAGAGCCCCAAGATCAGCTGTGACAACAGCAAGGGTGTCAAGAAGACCTCCATCAAGAAGTTCCAGGTTTCGCCTGAGTTCGACTGCGACTTGGAGTTTCACTACACCATGCCCGACGGATCTGCTTGCAAGCACCGATCTCCTTGCAAGGCTTCCGGTACCGTCGTCGAGAACACCCAGTGCGGTGGTGCTACCGACGTCACCGTCGTCTACCCTAAGCAGCCCTCTAAGCCCAAGGACTCTTGCGACTTTGGCATCCACCACATCGACTTCGACTGCGAGGCCCCTAAACCCTCTAAGCCATCAAAGCCCGACACTCCCTCCAGCAGCTCCGTTGTCGTGAGCAGCAGCGCCTCATACCCTGCTAGCAGCCTCTCTGCCAGCTCTGTTGCCGTGAGCAGTAGCTCCTCCCCTGCCAGCAGCTCTGTTGCTGTAAGCAGCAGCGCATCCGAGTCGTCGTCTGTCGTCGCCTCTTCCAGCTCTACCAGTGTCTTCGAGTCGACCAGCTCTTCGTCTGCTACCACTAGCATTCCCATTGGTGTCTCGTCCACCGTCAGCGTACCCACTGGAAGCGCCAGCACTTCGGCGCCTACCCTCCCTTACCCCGTTGTCAACAGCACTATCTCTGCTACTGAGGCTACCATCTCTGCTACTGAAGCCATCAGCTCTGCTACTGAAGCTATCAGCTCTGCTACTGAAGCTATCAGCTCCGCTACTGAAGCTATCAGCTCTACCGCTGATGTCTCTTCTTTCTCTGTTACCAGCTACTTGACTACTTCTACTGTTTTCACTACCTCGGTCCAGACTATCACTAGCTGTGGTCCTTCCGTTCCTAACTGTCCTGCTGGCTCGAACACGGTTGTCACCGTCACCATCCCCCTCTCTACCACCATTAGTCCTGTTACCGAGACTATTGGTGTCTCTACCCCGGCTGTCTCTACACCCGCTACTAAGCCCACTGAATCGGCCGCCAAGCCCGCCGAGTCTTCCGTCGAGTCTTCCGTCGAGTCGACTCCTACTGGTCCCTCTGGTACTTCCCCTGCTTCCAGCAGCAGCAGCACCCCTGCCGGTCCCGTCGAGACTCTCCCTTGCCCTAACGTCGTTCCCTCTTGCTTGAACACCTGGATGTTCAGCGTTGGCTGCAAGGACAACACTGATTCTGCCTGCTACTGCCCTGACGCCAGCTTCGTCAAGAACATCTTCACCTGCCTGTACGCCTACGGTGAGTCCGACGAGGTCATCTCTGAGGCTATCAGCTACTTCCAGGGTATCTGCGCTCCTTTCGTGCCCAGCAACCCCGGTATTGCCACTGGCGCTGATACCATCACCACCATCCTCACTGCTACCCCTGCTGCCCCTCCTGCTGCTGTCACCACCATCGAGGTTGCCACCACCGTTGTTGTTCCTTGCACCAACGAGGCTGGTGAGACTATCCCCAGCTCCAGCAGCACTGTGACCATCAGCACCAGCTTGACCGTCCCCGGTATCGTCTTCAGCACCGCTACCAACGGCCCCAGCTCTACCGGTGTCGTTATCGTCCCTGGCACCTACGTCGCCACCGTCCCGGTTGCTACTCCTACCGCCGAGACTCCGGCCTCGACCCCGGCCCCGACTGGTGCTGCCCCTTACCCCACTATTGGTGGCTCCTCGACCCTGGTCACCGCTGCCCCCTCCGGCACCGGTGTCGTCTACCCGACCTCGGCCCCGAGCAGCAGCTCGGTGATCGTCACCGCCGGCGCTGCCCACGTCGGTGCTGGCATGGGCCTTCTCGGCTTCGCCGGTATGGTCGTCGCCGCTGCCCTATAAGGCGCCCAAGCAATAAAATACTAGTAGTAGCCTCACCGCAGGCGAGTTTCTTTTTCTGTACAGTACAAACATGACCACTGCCGTCACATAAGATTCTTACGATCCTTACGAACAAACTTGCATATCTTTGGGAACCTGGCAAAAAAGATGGGTTTTCTTTTAATTTAAACTGACACGCCGTCACACCGTGGTGGTTCGGTGGAGTAGCTTCTCCCGTGTCTCGATGACGGCGAGTTGGGAGAGGTGGTGCGGCTTGGGAGGTGGAGTGTGTATAAAAGCACGGATGGACTTGTAGTAATAGTAATACCCCGATAAATTATAGCTGAGCTTGAACTTTACTATATATTTTCTTCAAAGATGTTTTGGTGATTTTATCTGTCCGTAAGATGACCTGTAGTTGCCTGATGTTTTAACTAACCCTACACTCCTTTCGGCAGACCCCTTTTATCCTAAGTATGGTGTGGATATGGATGTGAGGATAAACTCTAAAGTTATAAAAAATATATACTCTTTGCTCTCGTCTAATACATACATAGTTAAGTCTTAGGCACACTAGGAATATAGGTTCCTTGTATATAAGGTCTTAGGTAAAGGTTGCCCTTTTAAAGATTATTTTTAATCGGAATCTGAGTATGATCGAGCAAGGGAATGAGAGTGTAGCTCTATGGCTCAAGGGCACGATAAATAGAGATAGGAACTAGGGGCATAAGCATGACGGAAGTTTATATGACAACATAATAGTTAATACTATGTTCCTATAGAGTCGATGGTATCTAGATAGAGACGTGGCGTATGAAGATAAATTTGCGACATATCGTGTAGCTGTTTTGATTTATGCTAGTAGTTATAACTTTAGTGACTGGAGCCATGGTTTATAGATGTAGTATATGAACTTTTCCTCGGATGCTCTTCCAGAAGATATGACACCATTCACAGTTTTAACGTGTTGTTACCCGCTCCCGTTAATACGCGTCGTACTTACCCGTAGGTAAATATTAGAGCACTGACGACAAACGGGGTTCTCTATTATAGACATTCTAGTATGTGACACAAGTACCTTAGGTAATTCAACGCGTCTTCAACCCAACCTTATCGTCCATACCCGCCGCTCCTTCTTTCCCTATAAAATGTACCTTCGAAGTAACTTGCACCTATAGATGCAAGCTGCCTGACATTTAGCTGTGGCAACACCGCTCGGCTTAATTCTTGCAGCGACTAAGGTACCTATGGATGCTGGTACATGTATGAACATAGTCACTTCCCTCTTCTTCTGTTTCGTACCTAGCCTACCTCGGGTGCCTTCCCACTCCATAGTTTACTGCTGAAGAGTTTTCTATTGAACACAACTTTGACGTAAACTGCCAGTGCAATGGTCCTTCTTCACTATCCTTTTCTCTCAAAACATCATCCATTCACCAACAAATCTTCAACCCACATCTCTCTATCGCAACGCGTCTCTACCTAGGTATAGTACGCGTTGTACCTATACCATTAGGTAGGCATACAGCCTCACTATTAGTCGTCCAATCTGGACATATCGTATTAACGACGCGTCTTCTCATTGCCAATCTCTGGTCCGTCATCGACATCCGTCCAACTACCTATTGATTGTCTCTCCGGCCCGACGACTATGGATTCTTACGGAAGGGCTATTGTTGACCTCAGCGATGAGCAGCATCCCAACTATGATCTCACTAAGCTGAACAACTCTTCCAAATTCTTTTCAATGCTCCCTAGAGAAGTAGGTCTAGTTGATTTGACTTAATCCATGACCATTACTAGTGAGCATTACTCACATCTTTCGAAGGTCCGACTCGTGATTTACGAGTATGCGGTATATGTCAGTCATGATGTTAAACCAAGGCAACTTGTGCGCGGTTCGAACCGGTTCAGCTGGTTCAGCTGGTGTGGACACACACCAGATCACGTAATTAATAAATGGCTAACCGTTGTTTCACTTGCTCGCGTATGCCGAACCATCTACGCTGAGCTTGAATACTTTCAGCCGTTCTACAAAGTCAATCAATTCTCCTTTATGCAACTATCCGAGCTTCGTAAGTATATTGCGGCTATCACACCATCTCGTCGACAAGCAATCCGTCGGATTAGTTACACGATGGACGGCTCTATAGGAGCCATAGACGACTGGCTCTTAAATAAACGAGTCTTATGGGATCACGATGAATACCCGATAGACCACGGCACGTTGACAATTCTCAGTCAAACCGGAATCGAAGAGTTTACGCTCGTTGTCGATTTATCTGATTCGTGGGCGGACAGATATCCGGACGATGTTGATATCGGTGAAATATGCTACTATGTTGAGAAAGCCCAAGGATACCCTGACGAATTGCACACCATATGGAATCTACCTTGCTTTCGACTAGGTTTCCTCGTCGAATTTCCGGATGAAACCACCGAGGAGTTGATAGAGGAAATCGACGAAGCATGTAAGCTGATATTTAGGTTTAAAACCCTTGTCGATCACCTAGCTTCTCTCTAGATACTAGAGTAATATTTTTTTCACGACGCATTATTTTACTAGGCTTTATCACACTGGCTATTACTAACCATTGGCTTTTATAGTGGAGGCCCGTAGGCGACGTATTGGCCCGGACAAACCCGAATGGTTCAAGCAATTGAATAGCTCTAGACCGGCTGAAAAAGCTCTGTGCGAAGTCAGTGATCTCGACATTCTGGGCGAAGATCGAGTAGGTCTGGATAGAGCTGGCAGTTATCTTGGGCCTGTCTCTTCCCGGACGAGAGGTAAATGCCGAGTGCCCAACTCGGTGGGCCAAATACTTAAGAGCGTATCAAGATACAGCATAGATGGCATCTTGACTTCTCCCATCCAAGAGATACACGATATTCGTTGGGATGGAACGGATGTGCAGTGCCAAGTGTCGCACAAGTATGGAGATAAGGTCTGGGAGGATGTCTCTGCTATCCTTATTCCTGACAACGTATTTTTCATCATATCGTTCTACAATGTTATGATGGCGGCAAAAGATTCTAGCCGCTTGGATAAGGTTGAAAGCAAGCCGACCTTGCGCGATATTCTCAAAATTCAAGGGGGCCTTCACTTTCTCCAGCATACTGGGGCAGAGGGTTATAGAAAAGAATCACTGTCTTTCATGAGAGAATGTTGGTTGAGATGTGCAAACCGATGGGACGCTTACATAGCCGACTTGGAAAGGGTGAAAACTTCGGGGGAACAGAGAGAAGAAACAACCCAGGAAGCCAAAGGAAGAACCCGAAGAAGAGGCTGAGCTATAGTAAGAAAATATTCGGCGGACCTGTGCACAGCAGGCGACGGCTTAATCATGGGAAGCAACGACATCGTGATGTTCGCAGGGCCCGTGATGCATGATATGACGGAGATAGGGAGCGGCCTAGTGATGCTATCACAACTCAGTTGTCATCGTAGGCGAGTTCCTATTGCCGGCATCTTTTCCTTATTGATATATGCCGTCATCGCTACTTTTGTATCGCCCCTCCTCATTTGCAGAAGCAAGACTTCAAGGAAGGGCAGGGGTTTTGTCGACACTCACATTTTATTGTTGATTCTTTTCTATCGCAGTTGCTTGTACTGTAGTTGAAGACCACTATTCAGGTGAACATCTCGGAAGACATGAAAGATAAATCAGCTGCTTTCATAAAATATATTACCGAGGTATGCTAAGTCCAGACAGAATTGCCGGTATGAAAAGTGTGAATTGTAATACTGCTTCTACATAGTGATTAATCTTGCCCCATTGCATATTACCAACAGTCAAATAGAACTAGCTTTTATGTAATTTTTGTAGGGGTGCTAGGTCACTTATCACTACGGGTTATTATACATTATTCAGAATTGTGATGCCAGTTTTTGACCCCATCCGCATGGACTATATTGTAGATCTCCCTAACTTCTCCCGAACGGCTAGCAAAATATTAAATTAAGTCATGGCTATTTGTCTAAATTAGAAAGGTGAAACCTCACTTTTATCCCATGATAATGATATTGGTCGCCCTCGAAGATCTCCGCTCATGTGCTCGCGACACTCAGCCGCAGTTCTCCTTGCACCGGCTCGGGATCTTTGTCCGGAACCCTTTAATCCGCCGTGGTAACTGTGTGGTATCGATCCCGGGCCTGAATTTGAGTGCCCAGTGGTCCCGGGTTACCTGATATGATTGTTAGCGCTACTTTTTATACTTGGTCGTGTCTTACTATTTCCCTCCCTTTTAACCCCTTTTACCCCTTTTCTCTTTGCAAGAGTGTTAGGTATGCACAAGAGAAAGAAGGGAGAGGGGAAGGGGAGGGAAGAAGAAATAGAAGTAGACGTATGACTAAAGAGAAAAAAAAACACTCATACACAGCCCTTCCTCCTCTTAACCCCTACCACATTGCCTCTCCATCCTCCCGACGAGTCCCGTTCCTGCGAGCCGTCGTTTTGCGGGTATCCAAACAGTTCCCGGAAGAACTGGCGCCAACCATACGGGGCGTAGACCACGTCGTCGCTTGTATCATCGCTGGAGTCGTGCGCAGGGCTCCGGGTGTACTCATACCCGACGTAGAAGACGCGCTGGGAGCCGAGGATATTGCCCATTTCGGTTCGGTGGGTGGATGTTTCATGGCATTGATAGGCTATGCGGTATAGCATTAGGAAGTGAGAAGACGCCATTGCTATTAGTCCTTTAGGGGAGAAAGTCTTACGCTGAGCGTGTGTAACTAGGTACCTAAAAGTTGGCTGACTACCTACCTGAGTTGCTAGCAGACGATATCACCTTGCTCTAGGTCAGGATAACTATTCCAGAAATCCCAGAAGCGCGGAATCTTCTCATGATAGTGAATCTTCCACTTTATAAGTAAGCATAAACTCGCGTTTGTGCAAGCGTGCAAACAGCCAGCTAGTTACCTACCTAAATCATGAGGCTAAGGCTAAACACCGTTACAGTGCTACTAACCACGATGTATCCGGATACGTGCTTGACAAGCGTTACTTCCCAGCAAGCAAACCACGAGGGAGGAATCCCATAGAGGATATTTCGTGATTGATTCCTGGCGAGGACGGCGTGCGCCCAGGTTATATGAGACAAGTCGCACTTTGGGTGAACAAGGTTACCTGCTGTGCTGCTGTGTATTACTTGGTCGGGTAATTAATGGCATGTCTCGGATCTATCTTGATAGTAACTTCTAATGCTGTATGTATAATGGTGTGCTTATATTCGTTCCTATACCATGCTTCGCAAGAAGGTATAGATAGAGGAGCGCAGCTCTATAGTGAGGGATAAACATAAACAGGAGCAAGCAGCAAGCTTAAATATCGTGTAGCAAAGCAGCTAGACCACCAATCCACATTACCACCAGAGCCGCTCATTCATGCTAGGTACATAAAATAATACCAGCTCAATGCCTTAACATTATCCTATCCTATCCCCTCCCCATCCTCCCCTCATTTCGATGCATTATCATGATTAGTACAAGAGTAGTTCCGTAAAATACATAAGTCGCCACTTAATCGTTGATACATTAACCATGCTGCCTGTAACCCCCCCCGTTTTCCATGCTTCACAAAAAGCCCTTCGTTAGGCTTGGCTTCCGTCCGATACTGGATGTCCGCTTTGGCACCTCGATGCCGGTTCCGCCAAGGCTGGCTGTCTCGTCCGCGTCGCCACCAGTTCCGGTTCCGTTTCGCCACCCGCTGAGCCGCCGCGTCCCTTCTAGGCCGGGCGTACTAAGCCGCACGCTGCCGTTCACGCTCCCCTTTTCCATTCGTAAGTGCTTCCACCCTTCTAACTCACGCTCTAACCGTAAGTTCCTCTCCTTCTCCTCCCTTAATTCCCGTTCAGCCCGACGGGCCGACAGCTGGATATCGCTCTCACTAGCCTGGAGCTCATCGACTGTTACGAGGAGCTTCTCAACCCTGTCACGTAGTCGCGACACGTCGTCATTGAGTTGCACAGTTTGTTTGTCCTTACGATCTATCTGGGATTGTAGATCCTTTACTATTCGATCTACATTGCGGACGGAACGTTGTGATTTCGACCGCTCGTTCTCTTGAGTCTCGAGCTGCGATTCGAGCTATGATGTTGGTGGAGCATTAGCGGTACGCCTTGTAAGCTTGCGGAATAAGGAGGATAGGGGTCTTGTTGTTGGAGATTGTGATACTGTCACGTTGCTAGGAGGTTCATGTTCAGGGTCTGGCGTTGTACTAACCTCCTGGATACGCTTGTGCAAGAACTTGATATCCTGGCTGCCGGTTGAATATCCCTTAGTTTCCAGATCGACAAGTCGTACTTGCACTTCATTGAGGCTTTTCTCGAGGGCTGCCTTTTGTTTAGATAAGTCGGCGCTGAGCTCACGCTCGGCTGCAATTTCCTTTTGGACTTCGGTAGCGAGGGACTCAGCCCGCCGCATCTTCTCTACCGCAGCAGCCGCAATGTCTTCCTGTTGTGCTAGGCTAGACTTTAGTTCCAGAATTTCCTTGTCTGTATTAGCAGCATTACGCATCGCTGGACTCTCGCTGTTAGCCAGATCTTCAAGATTTGCCTTAGCTTCTTTAAGTCTCGCTTCAATGCTGGATTTCTCTCTCATTAGAGTATCGCGCTCAGCGGTTATGTCGTCCACTGAGCTTCGAAGGGTTCGGACTTGAGAAAGGAGGGAAACAATTTTGCTCTGGGCTTCGTTATGGGCGCTAACGGCTTCATCGCGTGATGAAGCGACGTCAGCGAGTGTACTCTCAAGGCGTGCCTTTTCTTTTGACCACGTCGTGCTGTTCAGTACCTCGTCATCCCACTTGGAGCGGAGATCGTCAAGTTCTTCGCGTAATCGAATGATTTCGGACTGCTTGAAGAGCTTCTCCTCCCGTGCTATGTCAAGTTCTTTAGTAAGAGTAGCAAATTCTGCTTGGTACTTCTTGCGAGTTTGCTCCATCTGCGACTCCTTGTCCTCAAGATCAATAGCTCTCTGGCTTCTATAGTCTTCTAGCTCGTGCTGGAGACGCTTCTTTGACTGCAAAGCAGCCTCGAGGTCTGTGGACAGATCCTCTAGCTTCTCCTCAAGACGCTGGTTCTGGCGCAGTACATCCTCCATACTTCCATCTGATTTGTTTCGCTGTGACATGATCTCAGCATAGGCCTCCTCTGCTTCTTTAGCCTGAGATTTAGCGAACTGCTCTGCCCGCGTCGCCTTCAGAACAGCGATCTCAGCCTGCTCTAGCTTGCTGAAGTATTCGTCGGCACGACTCTTATACATCTCGAGGCTCGAAGTCACATCTGCTAACTGAGAGCTTTCAGCATCAAGGCGAATCTGTAGATCGGTAAATTCTTGGAGTAGTTGGCTGCGGTTAGAGGCTTCCTGTTCTCGAGCAACAGCCATTTCTTGTAGATCTGACTTTGTGTCTCGAAGCTCAACTTCTAGCCTTGCACGTTCGTGCCTCATTTTCTCGAAATGTTCTTTGACGTCGGCTAGTTCAGTAATAGCATCGTTATGATTATGGAGAAGTGCACGCCTAGAGTCTTCTTGACTGTTGAGTAGGTCGAGAATTTCTTCGTGCGATTTAGTTTGGAGGTCTCGCACGGACAATTCGCCACTCCTAATCGACTTCTCCAACTGGGAAACCTTCTTGGCAGAGTCGTCGAGCATATCATGCAGTCGGTTATTGGCTTTCTCCAGCTTCTTCATTCGGCGAACCGAAGGGCTATCATCTAGGCTCATCTCTGGCGTGGGCGTGACACGCTCAAGCTGGCTTTGAAGGTGACGGTTTTGCATCTGTGATATTTGAAGTTGATTCTGCAATTCTTCAACCTCGGTCTTCAGATCTTGCTTATTGTTGAAGCTGAGAATATCTGCGGTGCGGTCTGATCTACCAGAGTCCGGGATCACATCGTTCTCGTTGCCAACGCGGCGAGTAGGCGTGGTAAGAACCGAATTACGCCTTCCGTTCAGCTTACTTCGTTTCTGCGTAGGAGAGCCGTTGAAAGGTGCCTCGTTAGGGTGCATCTCCTCTAATTTAGGTCGTACTGGTGACTCTGCTCGATTTGCACGTAGCTCGGTCAATTGTGCGTCCGCATTTGTGCGTGCAGCGGTTTGTATACGGAGGTTTTGTTGCAATTCTTCAATCTTCCTAAGCATATCAAAGTTTTGACTCATGATCTTATCATGACTTCCATCACCCTGGGCTGGAATTGAGACTTCTGGGTCAACTGCCTTCAAAATTCGTAGCATTTGTGCTCGAAGTTCTTCTAATTCCTTGTCCCGGGAGTCAAGGGTCGTTTGCATAGCGCG